ACGCATTCGCTGAACCTGAATTACATAAAAATTTATAAACCTCGCTACGCTCGAGCCTTCAGTCCTCGATTTCTAAGCCTAATCATTACTAATCATTTCCTGGTCATACTTAATCATTTCTTAATCATAGCTTGTCATGTCATACAACTAACCGTTATACCTTATCATATCTAGGGATACCTAATCATATCTAATCATGGTTGATATTACCTAATAACGAGAAATACGTGTATCACAAAACCTCGTGAAGATCAGACTGACGTTGAGCAGTGGGAATAAAGGAAAATCAAATAAAGGAAAATCGAATAAAGGAAAAAAGAGGAAAAAACTAAACAATAAAGCCGAACAAACAACAACAACCCACCCATGCCCCCTCCACCCCCCCCCCCCCCCCCCCCCCCCCAAAAAAAAAAAAAAAAAAAAAAAAAAAAAAAAGAAAGAAAGAAAAGAAAAGAAAAGAAAAGAAATGGCAGATTGAACTCGGATTGCCTGGCCGCCAGATAGCCTTATAGACCACTGAGCCATGGAAGAAAACACGGTGAAACGTTTCAAAAATATTATATTTAAAGGATATTTCTGTGGTAACCATCGTATAAATCTAGTCGATCCGTACAATTATGTGAATTCAAAGATTTTTCCAGGACATGCGCAGGGTTTTGATTGGAACTGAAAGCCGAACTTAAATGCATGTCATCGCCTTTGAAGAAAGTATGCCCGACGGAGCAGATAAAACTCGCTGCAAAAACGCAAAACAAATGTTCTCTTACCTCAATTTTCACTCTTCTACCGTCAAAGTTCATCGCTAAAAGCATTACTTGAACGGAAAAATGGCCGTAAACAAACATGCACTTTGCTGATCGTCACACTGGATGACGTAACCGCGGTCATCAAGCAGATATATAATATACTGTTATTCTCTATCAAGCCCCTCGGGGGCTTATTTATTTCAAGCACGGTTGAGGGGCTCTCGGAAGGTGGTTTCCGTACAATGGCCTATACGAGGAGGCTCCGCTTAATGAGGATACCTCTTTAAGTCTTCAAGTATAGAGCGTTTTCACTCACGTGGCCATCATCTATGCAAATTTATTGGAACTAAAGAAAGTAAGAGTTTAACTCCCACAGGATTTACTTGGGACACGAACATGGCCGCGTTTCATTGTTTTGGGACACCAATATGGCGGCCGTGACGTCATGTGAAAACACTCTATATCGGGGATGGGAATTTTACTTGTTGACGTAAACGAAAGGTTACGGAAATCTGTCATTTCGGCCTGTAAAAAAGACTGCGAGCAGTCTATTATTTTTCCTTGCAAAGTTACTTCACGAGAAACCCAAGCACGCGAGCGGCGAAGGGGCGAGGCATGACAGGGCGTAAGCCCGAGGAGAAAAAATTAGAGCCCGTCTTTTCTGGTCTGGTCCTAATATAATAATCTCTTACTGCAACGTAACGTCGTGGTTTACAGTCGCGCTGGCTGAGATAAGAACTAGACGGAATTTAAGAGAAAAAGCAGACTGCAAGCAGTCTACCTGTAAAAAGGCCCCAAAAAGGTTGTTATAACAGATGCATTTTAAGCGTGTTCAGTAAGTCGAGAAAACGTTCTGATTTTGTGATCTATTCATATTTTAAAGACAGTGTATTTACAGTCGTTAAAAGGGATGCAAAGTTCTAAACTAGCTATGTTAAAGGGGTATCTTTTCTGTCAAAAATGCTATATATGTATAAAAGGGTTAGTGGTTGGACCTCGGGGCATCCTCGGAGATCCAGGGGTAGATAGTGGGGGCGAGGGAAAGTCTAAACGGGCGGAAAAATATATATATGGCACGAAGAAAAACAAAGAACGGCGAGAAGAGCCCCTGGGGACAATGTCTTACCAGACAAGTTCCAAACTGTCGCCGCCGTGCTGCCTTCTTATTGGGCAGAAAAACACAAAAGTTTTCTGGCACCAATCAGAAGTCAGCACGGCGGCGACCGTTTGGAACTGGTATGGTAAGACATTGTCCCCAGGGGCTCTTCTCGCCGTTCTTTGCTTTTCTTCGTGCCATATTTTCCCGCCCGTTTAGACTTTCCCTCACCCCCACTATCTACCCCTGGGTCTCCGAGGATGACCTCGGGGCGGAGTCTCCCCGTACAAAACGTTGAGGACCCCCCTCCGGAGGGCTAATTAGAGAGCGGGGGCTATTTAATTTAGTGGAGCTGGTCATATCAACTCCTCCATAAAGAACCAAAACTTAAAATGGAAAAGCTCAAGCACACGAAGTTTGAGGTCTTCCAGCAAGTAAAGAAACCATACCACATGAAGTGTTAACAGTTTTGATTAATTAATACCCACAGTCTATCATTTATTAATTTGATTGTGACGAATTAGTGGAGGAAAGAGAGGGGAATAACTTAATAACTTAGTTTATAAGAGTGGGGGTGGGGAGGGGGGCTGAATAAAGGATTTACGTTATATATAAAACTTTCATTTGCTATTTAAGTGCTTAATAGTAAGAATTAAAGCTGGGGCTGCCAACTATATAAAAGGCAAAAAAGCACCCCCCTTTCCCCCGTTAAAAAAAAGAAAAGAAAATGAAAAAGACAATGTGACACCTCCGTACGGTATCGATCCCGGAATCTAACTCTTGAATAGCACCAGAGATTGCTATTAGGCCACGGAATCCTACACACTAATGACGATCGAATGTATTTTACTTAAACTTTTTGCCCCTAAACACTTTGCCGAAAACGCGGTTTGAAGCTAGTGGAGCTGTTTTCTGGTCACTATCTGGCAGAATAAAACCAAAACTGCCTAAGAGGTTACTTAACAGTCGAATCTAACAACTGGTTTTGTTGCTAGGCAATTGCGGACACCAGATTGAAGAGCACAACAAGATTTATCAAAATATCTGAGTGCCTGGAACAGGCTACAATAGATATTTATACATAAATGCGCTAATATTCCTCCGCGCCTGGAACGTCTTCGCTTGCCATCAATGGTAGCGAGTTCCCTAATCATTACCTAGCTATACCTAGTTATACTGTAATTATCACCTAATCAAAGATAAGTATAATCATTACTCATATACATACCTAGTCAATACCTAATCATACCAAGTCGTGCTTAATCATACCTTGTCATAAGTAATCATATCTAATCGTTACTTACTGCGCTTTTCACAAACATGCGAACTCTAAAGTTCAAAAGCCGCCTTCACAATTGCGTTTTTCGCTGCCGTCAATCATAATTACGATCACAAGCAACGAACCTTGAAACACAGAAACACACACTGACGGATCGAAATACACCAATCACAAATCGCAAACCTTGATCTTTTGAACCCGTTAAAGTAAAGTTTTGTTTCCTAAGAGGTCCGTTAAGATGATTGAGGTCAGCGAAAAACGCAATCGTCGGTTGGCTTTTGGTTTTCAGAATGCATGTTTGTGAAAAGCGCAGTAATCATACTTATTAAAAACTGAATCATTGGATAATGCAATTCTAGAGCTCTGATTGGCTTAGCCATCATGGTATATGAGCCATTATACCATGCTCTCCAAATATGATAACTGTATGAGTCTGCTCAAAATTAAAAACAAGCTGAAAATCGGTTGTTTTTGCCAATAAAATCGGGAAGAATTCTCGATATTTTGTTGGCGTTTTTAATAAAACAATTATCGCACTCGTGGAATAATTGTTAAATAATCGTACCTAATCATACCTTATAATACCTAATCATGCCTAGGGGTAACTTATCATTACCTGATCATATCTAATTACTACCTAGTCATACTCGTCATCCCTAATCATCACCCAATTACACATAGTCATTCATAATCACACCTATTCATACCTAATCATAGCCGATCATACATGTTGTCCTAATCATACAAAGTGTAAGTCGTAACTAATCATTACCTAATCATCCTCAATGGCACCTAATAATACACAGTAATACCTAATCACACCTATTCATACTTAATCATAACCGATTATACATGTCATCCCAATCAAACATAGTCGTAACTAATCATCACCTAATCACACACAATGGTACCTAATAATACACAGTCATACCTAATCACACCTGTTCATATCTAATCGATCATAACTAATCATACATAGTCGTAACTAATGATTACCTAATCATGAACAATGGCACCTAATGATACACAGTCAAACCTAATCACACCTATTCATACTTAATCATAAGCGATCTTACCTAGTCGTAACTAATCATAACCTTATCATACACAGTGGTTCCTAATCTTACCTAATCATGCCTAGTTATACCTAGTCATTTCTGATCATTACCTTATCATACCTAATCGTACTTTATTACTACCTTGTATCCAGTCATTACCAAATCGTAGCTAGTTGTACCTAATCATCACCAAAATGATAAGAAATCATAATCATAAGAAACTATGTGTACAAACAAGTTTGTACTCAAGCTTTCCCACGCCGACCCCGGTAGGCGTTTAAAACCAATATATGGTAATCATACCTTCCCCCTTCGATAGTTCAACTGTCGCAATTTTTGCGAGTATGATAACTATCAGAGAAGAATTAAAAAACAACAACTCAAAGTGTTATACAAATTAAAGCAGCTTTATTTAAAACTTCCTTCTTTCAGCTTACGTGCAAATTAAATTCGCACATTAGTAACCTCAGTATAAAATTAGTTCTCCAGTTCTCCGCTTATCGCTAGGTTATAAATTTTCGTAAACGATAAACGCATGCTTTAAATATCTTCAGCTTGGAACTGGAAAAAAAATACATTTCCAAAAATCGTCCGTGGCAATCTCTCTCTCTCTCACTCTTCCCCCTGTAAGTTGTTTCTGTCAACAAAGTACCACACTGTATACCCAGGGAGTGGGAGAGAGGGACGATTTGTAGGATGGTAGCCAGTTGCTCAAGGGGTGCTAAGCTAACACAGGGTTTAAACACAGTTTTTTCATCTACAATTCCCCACTCCGAAAACTGTCAGAAGAATGGGTACAAGCTTTCAGCACAACGATTTCTGATTGGTTAATGGTTGCCTTGAATACCATCGACCAATCACAACAAGCGCTTGTCCACTCAGAAATCACTGCACCCAAAGCTAGTACCCGTCATCCAAAGAGCTTCTGAAGTGGGAAAGGGAGGTTTGCTATCTGTTTTGTACTGTCATTCCGGGTTAAAATAACTAGGATTTGTGGTGTGTGCAGAACAAACTGATTATAGAAGCTCCAGCTCGTCCCAGATCTTTCTCAGGTCACGAAAGAGTGATCCGGTGAAAACACTTAGCTACAGCATGTAAAGCTATCGAACATAATAAACATGTTAACACCGCAAATTCGCAGAGCGACATCCCCTTCTTTACAATCTGGATCAAGTTAAATGTTTGTTCAGCAAAAAAGATATTCCTAGATAATGAAAAACCATCGTCGAAGTTTCTTTGCTTAAGCTTAGTCTACAAGGAAAGCATGGTTAAACCTTAGAGCAACACAATGTATTGTATTCGAAACCTTAAGAAACACCGTTTCCCGTACCCGTAAATAAGGGAAGATCGCTTCTTGACCCAGGAAAACGAGTGAGGAACGATGAAGCCATTACCACATCTAAGAAGTTAACCTGTTTTATAACTTCGGGACAAACGTGGTACCCTACCCAGACCTTACTCATTTTCAGCAGAAAAGGTTTATCTTAAGGTCCGTAGCAACTCTCCGCTATCACTATTTTGCGCTTAGATTTACTTCGCTAGTTAAAGCAAGGGTCAATACGACAATAGCTATCTTATGTAAACTATGTATAATACAAAGGCCACGATACTTCTGTACATCGTAAATTCACTAGAAGATACACGAAAGAACATTGAACCTCATGCTAAATAAACATTTCACGTAAATAAATAAGAGCTCAGGTGGGCGCATTCGTTTGGGACTTTCCGACTACCAAAGCAGTTCTATGTGCATTCAGTTGCTAATATTGGCGATCAAGAAACGCAACTCACTAAAAATATAGACAGAGTTGTGTTGGTACTGAAACTTTAGAAAGTTGGGGGTTTAGCCCAAATAAGCAAATTGATACGATGAATAATATTTCTCTTTTGGAAGGCTAAGAGGTATCTGCAAATCTTAGAATTAAGTGTGTTATCGTGACTTCTGGAGCAAGAGGGTGGGAAAAGAACACTTCATCTGCTACGCTTGTCCGAATTATATACCAAACGAATGCGCCCTAGAATACATGATGTGCGATTAACTGATGATCAAAGCGTTCTCTAATGATACGAGCTATAAAGCAGTATGGGAACAATACGATTACAGACAGAACTGGTCTACAAAAAGTAGCAATTACTCTGGTTTTACACTGAATAAAGATTGGAGGGAAAACATCCTTCGTTAAACAACCCGAACTGGTACAAATTTATTTTTTCATTATAAATGTGAAAGGATATAAACAACCACGACGTTGGAAACCAAGGAACAATCAACGCTATTTAGTGACAGACAGTAATTTACTTCGCCTCCGCTCTAGGAGATCAAAATCTTATTTCTTTATAAGTTTTTTTTAGTGTGTGAATGTGGGTGTTATAGAGCACGTCGAATTAGTTTTCATTTATTTATTTATTCTTTTATTTATTTATGTTTGTTTCTTTGTTTTGGGACTCGTATATTTTTTTGTCACACTCTAGTTTCTTTTTATAGCACATACGTACCGCTCTTCAATTCTAATAAAAATAATAAAGCCGGGAAAAGCACTTATTTTTTTCTCTGATAAACAAAATTTTATCAGCCCGAATTTTATAATAACGCCAACGAGACGAGTATGGTTAGTATCATACAACACTCAAGAGTTTTCCTATCTATCCGTTTTTTTTTTTCGCAAGTTTCTCATTTTTCTTTTTTCTCTTCTCCATTTTTCCACTTTTTTACCTTTAAAGGTCGAGGAAAAGCAAAGTTTGTGTCACGAAACAGCAAAGTGGCTAACAAAAAGAAAACCTGCATTGGATTGGACTCCGGTCTCCGGACGATTTTGTATCTGGGCCAACGCTTCCGCAAAAAGTCTGCAACTTCAATCCTCTTTTCGAGTACTTTCTTTCTTCCTTTCATTGTTTCTTTGTACGGTAAGCACACAGAAATCTCTAACCGGTAAATATTACCAAAAACCACGCCTACCAGTTACAGATAAACTGTCCCGCAGAAATCGACATCGCCTGGCATAGGTTGAAGTAACTCTGTTTAACCAAACCATGTACTCCTTAAACACCAGAACCAGTGTTGTAGTTTGCATCTGTACCACACAAGAAAAAACCCTTTTATCTTGAACCGTAGAAGCAAAGCTTGAAGTGAACAGCATAGATCCTTCTGTAGGCTGGGTGTTATGAGGGGACATTCTCAGCTGAAGTCACCAGAGCCCCCTGCATTTTGTGCCTCAGGAGGCGCCATCAGGGCCGCTAAGTCGGTTGGGTCCCTAGTGACACTTGCTCGAAGCGCCTGTTCAGGTACTTTAGATGGGTCGGACAAGATGGACGTGGCTTTACTGAGGTCACGTAGAGATGATAAGGCCGCTATGAAAACAAAACATAAAATGAAGGCTTAACATGTTTTTGCTCATTGAAATTTAGTTGTTGGAGAGCTATAACGTATAAGGTGTTGAGTTGACCGAGTAAGGGTCTGTTTACATGGAGGTGGGGGACCCCAGGTAGGTGAGGTAACCCGCTTAGGTGGGGTAACACGCCTGTCCATACAATCTCTCATCTGGTCAACCCACCTATCATGTAAACATGATCAAATTAAAATAAGAGATTTTATGGACAGGCGGGTTACCCCACCTACATGGGGTCCCCCACCTCCATGTAAACAGGCCGTAAAATTGCATGGGAAGTAAGAATGCGAAACTACTGCGAGTACAAGGGCAAATCAAAGCTTTACATTTCACGTGCTTATCCTTCAACAAAGCGAATCGTATCGCCTTCACCTCTTACTAGCCTGCAACACAGACATTATCTAACCCTGGTTAGTAACGTCTGCGAACCAGCGCCGACATCCTTGTTCTGGGCCGCCAACGGACTTAACGAATTACCGGAAGTGCGTTTTCCTTCTACCTGATTGGCAAATCGACAATAGCGTTTTTGACAGGCCAATCATGGCGTCTGCTCAAATCCTGGTACACAGGTAGGTTCCCATAACAAGGATTTCGGCGCTTATACCACCACTGAAAATTACAAACCTTTTGCGGGTAGTAGTATAACAATTTTGAAATATCTATTACCTATACTAATTCACAGACGGAAATAACCAGAGGCGTAGTTTCGTCTGTGGCGCAGGCTACCACGGCAGTGAAGTATTGAACACCTTTGCCTTATGTTTTTTGCTCTTCAGACTGTTTTTCTCATGGACCAGTGATTTTGCTACCTCTGCGTCCTGCGTCCCTGACGCATAAAAATCCTTAAAGACGCAAAATAATTTATGGCATGCGTCCCGGAGGACGCAAAGATCGATCGGTTGATCCATGTGTTTTTGCAGAAATATCCTGTTCGTGTAATTTCTGTGGTAGTTATTATGGCTGTTGTTTAACTATGGATATTTCTTTTTTCCTTTGCTGTGCTTTAAAAGAGAAGAACTATATTTAATTTCAGTATACTGTAGTAAAGAGGTTTCGAGTCTCTCTTCAGATTGACTGACTGGTTACATAAAGGCGCAAGCATTTTCACTTTCCGATTCGTTCTTTGTTTTTAACTCGGACTCATGAATTTGCACAAATTGAGTCCCACGACGCACCATAACTATTTGTAACAAAATCATTGATGAACTCACCAGGTCTCAGCGCAGGTAGAGAGCAGTGCTGTTCAAGCCAGCCTAACACTGTTCTACAGAACTCCTCAACATTGACTGTTGACACCATGTTGTTATACTCCTCAAAGAGCTGACGCATCAAGACGCTGAACTGAAACTCGAGTCAAGGAACACAACAAATTCTGCGCTGAACTGGGCAAGTTAAACACCGATCATCTAGCCTGGGAAGGAGAAGGGAATTTGGGCGTGAGACCACACCCGCGAGGGAGAATGGAGGAGAGGAACTCGCGTGCCCTCCGCGCTTCCTACGCGCCCGAAATCCCTTTTCCCTTCCCTTGCGAACGCGAGACACGCAGGCTACTGACCATCTTACTAGAGACTTGTACATTTTGAACATATTAATATCAGTATTAAACATGAGGCAGTGTTTCATCTAATAATAAGACACTGAGGATTAGGTCAGACCGACTTAACTAGTGTGGGGAGTGTTAAACCTTTTATTGTTGAAGCAAACTAATGATAGTCTTGTAAGGTGTTTCTAAACTTCAAGTCTGAGGACGAAATAGTGTGGTGTTACCATTCAAATGAAACATCTTCAGCAGTACTTTCACATGCTACTATTTATTTAGTATGTAGTTCTAACTTTTGAGTCTGTCGATGAAATCCTATGGTGTGACCATTCAATTTAAACCTCTTAAGCACTACTTTCACGTGGTACTATTTGTTTGGAACAATTTTATATAATGAAATTTGGAATTAGGTGAAATTATGATTTTGGCCTCTTCTGGGAATGAATGAGTTAATATAATTTCTCAAATGACAAAACGAAAGAATGAACTTAAAGTAAAAGTTCGCGAAATGTTATTAAGCACTATAAAATGTTTCATTATCATCTACTAAACAGAGAGTGCCTTATCAGCATAATCGAGCATCGGGAAGTACAGTATGTGGTCCTTGGTCCGCGACTTTTCCGAAAGAGATAAAATATTTTGTCGAGAAAAAAAAAATACGTTGAATAATGAAAGATATCGTGATTTACTGATTAGCATTCTTTCATATGACGAAGTTTCGGCTTTCTTTCTGTGGGTGAAGGCGCGAAATTAAAGTTTGTTGACAGGTTGGTTAATTTGTCTTTCTTGAAGTTTGGATTTTTGCGGCACCGTAAATTACGTTGTCATGTTTACTTAGCCTGCGAATAAATAAGACGCAACGGGAAGACTTGCCTTTTTGCAGAACAGGTTTTCAGATCAACTTATTTCTGCGGTTGGAAGAATATTGCTGTAGACTCTGAATTTTTTGTTTTATCGACTCTTGAAAAATATGACCAAATTTCGCCTAGCGGTCCTTGGTCCGTGACCTATGACCTTGGTTGAATAAAACTTCCCAAAATAAAAAGCGACGACCTTTGTTTTCGAAGAATATTTTGAAAATCGTCCCTACACATGTCTACAAGTTCTCTTTTTTGAACACCTCGAATACATACGAAGTTTTTGGTAACTATTTTCCACCGCGCTGAAAACCGCCCGTCGACGCTCGTGTTAACCTGCGAGGAAAGATCGAAGCGACTCTGCTAGCAGGGCACGCTCGTGTGGGAGACTCGAGGAGACTGTTGTCTGAACTCTTTGAAAGATTATACTCACAACATCTTCCGAAAAAAACTTCAGCTTAATTGCATCAAGAAAAGAAAAAAAATTCATGAAATATTGTGAAAATCACGTTTTCGTGTGGAAACTATAACATTTTTACGTTTTTTTCGTGCTGCTTACCTGAGACGCGGACCAAGGACCACATTCGCGGACCAAGGACCATCGAAAACGGTCGCCTTTTTTCGAATTCCAAGCAAAATGTTTATGTCTGGAACTTGAAACTTCAGGATTATCGAGAAGAACATAAAAGCTATCTTCAGGGAGTATTTCAGCTCGTTACGTGAAGATTCAGGTAAGATATTCAAGTTAATGACTTTTAGACGCGGACCAAGGACCACATACTGTAGTTTAGGAGAAGAGAAAACAAAACAAACAAACAAACAAAAACACGAGCTCGGTCGAAAGTTGGAAGAGGAACAGCACAAGGATACGATCCAGAACTTAAAGTTGTCCTGTGTACGAGTCTTAACGTACTGATTAAACATTGACCACATCTGATCTACACGCTGCAGAACAACAAGAAAACGTGGATTAAATGTCAACAGGAGAAAACAGCCGACATTTCGCTACGCCACCACTGGTTCCCGCGAAATGACGTCTGAGAAACGAACGCAGAAATTCCATACTGATGACGCGTCACTACACAGATCTGGGTGATTGATTGGTCGTGCCGCTTCAACCAATCAGAAGCACTTAATACCCAGCTCTGGGTAGTGACACGTCATAAGCATGGAATTTCTGCGCTTGTTTCTCAGACGTCACTTTGCGTGGAAACCAGTTGTGGCGTCACGAAATGTCGGCTGTTTTCTCTGGCTATTCAAACGTAAGCACAAATAGTTTAATTACTTATATTGCACAACAAAAGCAGCAGCAACAAGGGAATCGACCGATGCGCGATAACAAACGCAATCGCTACTATCTCTCTATTTAAAGGGACTGTGTCACAGTTGGCTAGTTCTTTTTTTTATAATAATGCCAATTACCGTAAATCCTCTATTAAGCCCTCCCCCGCCTCTCAAATAAGTCCACTCCCTCTAATAAGCCCTTCTATTCTTGGGAAGAAAGTTAATAAGCCCCCCCTTCCCTCCCTAATTCATGATTCTTTACTAGTAAATGATAGACTTTATTATCAATCACGACGGTAAAACTTCGTGTGGACTGATCCGGGGTGGTTTATTTACCAACTGGAAGTTCAGATTTGACTCTGATGCTCGGCTGCATGAACTCCAACCTTCTTGTACTTGAGCGTTTCCACTTTGTATTCTAGGTCTTTATGGAGAACTGATGCCATCATCTTTTCTAAATTAAATAAGCCCCGCCCCGTCTCCAATAGGCCCCCCGCCCTCAATGGGCTTGAAATAAATAAGCCCCCGGGGGGCTTAATAGAGGATTTACGGTACGCGTCGTTATTCGCTATGGAATGTGACAAATTACTTGTGAATGACAACATCAGAGTTTTCTATTGTTACAAACAAATATGTCTCCCAAGTATTATATCAATCGTTACTAACAAAATAAATTTTGAAAAACTGTTAGGCTAACAAGTTTTCAAAAACACAATTGTAATCCGTTTCAATCTTCTTCACGTCTGTCCATCCGTGCCTCCCTTTGTATTTGCTGTTTTATTTATACACTGAACCTTCATTTCATCGGTTTTGAGTAGTTATTATGTTTCACTCAGTCAGTTTCGTAGCGGTTCCCACTGTTTGAATTTCGACAGATTTCGTGACACAGCTCCTTTGAATTTCGATCGATTTCGTTACACAGCTCCTTCGAATTTCAATAGATTTCGTGACACACACAGCTCCTTTAAGCAAGGACTAGGGAATGAGGGAAAACATAGTTTACCTGTCTGGCGACTGGTACCCCTGTGGCAGGAAGTTGTTGCTGACAAACGCTGAAATGCCAAAACACCAGACAAGTAAGTTAAGACAAACTAACTTTAACCGTGGAACTATTTTTAAGACCCAATGTGCCAAAATCAAAGCACAGTTTCTTCTCTGTTGTTCCAATACCTTTCTTACAGAAGTAACTGGGAAAAGTTGTGGCTTCATCTTTAAGGTTGATTTCCTTCATTTCCATGTCTCCGTAGACTATAAGCAGTCCCTTATTTTTCTTCCAAGCTGGCGGGAGCAGTGAACCCGCGAGAAACGACGAAGATAAATTGTCTTTTGAGGCTGACGTCATTGTTTCTCGCGTCTCGCGGCCTAACCGCTCGCAAACCGCGCGGTGCGCGCGACACCGCTTGGAAGGAAAAGTTAGTCTGCACAACAGCGGCTATTTTCTCGCGTTTTTGATGCTAGCACAAAGCCGACGCGAAGCGCGAAACACGCGTTCTAGGCTGCGCGTGCCTCGCGCTCCACGCCCGCTTCGTGCTCGCCTGGAAAACGCGAAAGAACAGCTCCTTTTCCACAAGCTAAGGAAAAGAAGAAGACTATTCTTAGTCTAAAGGCCTCTCTGACCAGCATTTAATTTCTCCCTATGATGTTATCGCTAGACTGCGCAACAAAGTAATGAGAGGAAAAAAAACGATCATCAATGTTTTATTGTTTTGTTTGCCAAAAAATTGTACAAATCAAATAAAATCTAATTACTTAAATCCTCATGGCGAGGAAGTCCAAGAGAAGCCACCGGGCTTATAAGGAATGGGCTCCCTCAGTTAGATAATTAGAACAAAATATTATCGTAATTACACATGGGAAAATCAATGGCAGAGCTACAGTAAATCTTAAAATAAGTATATTAGATAGTCGTACTAATCATAGTTCTAGGCTAAAAAAAGCGAAATGACAAAAAGAAAAATAACAAAAAGAAAATTAATGAGCAAAGGAAGAAAAAAAAATACATATATATATATATATATAAATTACTATTTATGATAAGAGGAATGCTTTCAGCTTACAGCAAAAGGAAGAGATACTTGTTGCATTTCGAATTTCAAAACTAAGAGAGTTAAAAAATTTAGGACCTTGGAAACTGATGGAGAACTTTCTTATATTAGTCCTGCATTGTGGTAAATAAAAATGCTCCGAACTTCTAGTGCCATAAGAATGCACCTGGCGTGTCACCAGAAACATGTTATTGAAGCTATAAGGAAGTAAGCCAGATCTGTCTTGATACATAAATTTTCCTATTTGAAGTTTGTAGATGCTCTCAAGATTCAGAATTTTTACATTTTTAAATAAGGGGTCAGTGTGAGCATCGAAAGCACTCCCCGACATTATTCTTACGACCCGTTTTTGAAGTGTGATTAATCTTCTGAGGTTTGATGGGTAGGTCGATGCCCAGACGCTCACGCAGTAGAATAAGTATGGGTAGATAACGCTAAAATAAAGCATCCGTAGGGAGGAATTATTAAGGCAAAAACTTGATTTATAAATTATACCTATGGCTTTAGACACTTTCCGAGCAACATTATGTATATGTGATTTCCATGTTAAATGCTCATCCAAAATTACACCAAGAAAAGTAGCTTCCTTAACACGATCAATCGAATAATTACTAATATGAAAAGCTAGATCAAGTGTTTGCCTGTTTTGTCTCGGTCTGAATATGATAAAATTAGATTTCTAGACATGTAAATCACATAGTACCTGATGGATGTATTGAGATCCTGGATCTGTTTTCTTAGCTGATCAGCTTCCTCCTGCATGGCGTGTCTCTCACGTTGAAGCTTGGTGGTGTACTCAACAGCTGAATCAAATGCGCAAAACATAGCGTTAACCCATTTAACCCTAACATTAAAATTCAAATTCTCATTTATTGTACTAATACGTTTGCAATAGAAGTAGTGGGGAGAATTTGTTGAAGTATTTTAAATTAGATTCATCTTGTGTGATCACGTCCTTAATTCTTATCGACAATCTGATTTATAAAGCAGTGATAATACAAGAAGAAATAACATGCTCGTCACTCTTAACGCTTAACGCGTTAAGTTAAATAAAAGTCGCAAGGTACTAAAAGAGAGAGGTACAACCATATTATCATACGAACGAGCGCTGAAAAAGTTTCATCCCGACTATGTCTCGCAACTCGAAAATAAAGCCTAAAATAAGTTAGTTTTTTGGTCATGACAACGAAAAAAATCATTTGTTTGGCGCGAATAGGACATGGGATTTCCTGCGGTTTCACGGTGGTACAAGAAATGATTACGTGCTAAGGCAATTTGTCCACCCTGGGAAGGTTTTTACAAATGGCACGTGACATGTTTTTGTCCAATTAGAAAACGCGCTTGAGTTGGGAGTTAGAACGAAGAAGATTTAACTGCGCGCGAAAAACAGTAGAACTGTCGCCAACAACCGATTCTGGAATGAATATCATTATCTAATGTCTGGATAATCGAAATTTATTTGATAACTTACTTTTTTGCAGAACTGTTGCTTTACTGACTTTAGCATTTCGTTGATTTGCAAGTGAAGGGACGATAGACAGCAGCTGATCAAAGCCCATCTAAACAACAAAAACAACAACAAAAGCTGTTACGATTTCATCTACAATCCTGGACTATAGTATAAATTATCGGTATTTTCCAGCTGCTCTCATCAAACAGTGCTACCTTTTGGAAAATACCTTACAGTGCTTCCTCCACCCTCCTGAAACAATGTTGAAAAGCGGTAAAAATACTGCACACACGCGTCTAACGTTGATTCTTTGGTGGGGGATTGGAAGGGGGGAAGGGCCTTGGGCTTCACAGATATAAAAGTGTCTCAAGACTTTTATCCATGATTGTAGTTGTATTAGGAAGAAACAGTTATTGGTCATATTAAAGAGCTTAGTCCTTTACCCCATTCTTGTTATACTAATGAAAACAATACGCCCAGAAATAACAATATTTTATCTCCGTTGATCAAACGTCTTTTTCATGTCCTAATATTTTAGGAGTAAAGCCAAAGGAATGTGAGAAAAAAAACTAGATGAAGTTCACCGTTCGCTGTTTGTGGGTTAAGTGTTAATATGACTTTAATGCGTAGTACAGTCAAACCCCGCTTTACGGATACCCACTTAATAGGGACACCTCATTATTACGAACAGTTTGCTGTGTCCGTGGGGAAAGAAAGCCCTTACCGCTTACAGGGCTAAATTAAGAGGCGGGGACCGGGGATTTCCCCCGGCTACTAAGAACGTGGCCCCGGCCACTTTCATAGGAAAATAGAAGAAAAATAGAACCAAAAGAAAGCCTCACCTGTTTGATTTCCCGCCCATTTGTGGTATTTACCCGGCAACTTGAAATCTTACGGACAACCCTGCCGCTTAATACGGGCACCCCATTAATATGGACACTTTCTATAGCCCCCTAAGTGTCCGTATTAACGTGGTTTGACTGTATTTTGCCACCTAAAAGAAGTTATGTCATGAAGTAGTGAGCCACCAAGGAACTTTAGATCGGTCTACCAATACGAGATTGAGTCGGATTTAGAAACATTTTGTCAAAACGTCTTACACGTCTCTTAATGTACTTACTTTGATGTTACCGCGCCTCTTTTGCTCGGCAGTAATATGTGAGATTCGTCTGTGTTCCTTTAAATAAACAAATAAATATATAAATAAACAAACAACTATTTACTGGTACCACGCCCAGAAAGAGGATCTTCGTCTATCGCCCCGAATCGACTTGGATTTTGGAAAGGTTGGTTTTTGAGCGCAGGAGAAAACCGGACTAATTGGAGAAAATCTTCTCAGAGCAAGATCAGGAACTCAAACCACATAAGGCTTCACTGCTGCGAAAATATTGCTCACCGAGGGAGACAAAAAATGTAGCAAAGCGACTACTTCCACCGTCACGCTTCTCAATCATGCATGAGCCAATAACGTTCCTTACTTAATGCAACTCCGAAGTTTTGACTGCAACCATATTTTATACCTTTCTGAATTCAAGTCTTTAAAGAACTAAGGAAATGTTAATTTTTTTGGACCCTCTGGGGTATGGAAATTTTTTCCAAGAATGTGGAGTTTGAAAAATTGGGGGTTAAAACTACACTGTTAGGCTTGGAGAGGGCTATCTGTTTTCAGCCGAATAACAGTTAACTGGAAAATTTGAAAAATCGCCGGTTTGAAAAGGTGGAATTCCACCGTATTTGTTTTCCTAACTTTCTAATGGGAATACTTTTATGAAGATTGTAGATTTCTACGGTTTATTGACATTCTGATGATTTTGGACAAAACAAACCTTGTATTGCTCTCGCTGTTGTGCTGTCACTGGCCTTGTTGGTTTAGTTGGAGTCTACAAAACAACAGTAAAAAGAGATCACGACATTGTTACACTCAATTGCTGACAGGAATTTTCACACAGAAAGGGCTTGCACAACTTTAATCAAAGAATTTTAAGGAAAGCAAGCACAGCGTAATAACCTTAGTAAGTACAGCTACAGCAAAAAAATAATACTGTTTTAGCGAAAAAAAAGGTTAAACGCGTTTTGCTTTTGATCATATTGGTCTGTTCTCTGCAAAAAGGCAAGACACATCGGCATGACTCAGTAAATCGAGCGAATTACAAAAGAACCTGAACAGAGAGTACCATCCTAGCTAACGAGGGCATATCGTTTTAAGGTTACAAAGACTGCACAAAAACAATGACTCCAAAAGATGCTAAAAATTTAAACCACACAGCTATAAAGAACGGAAATTTGAATTACAGCAGCTGCTTGGGCTGGTCGCATGCCATCTGTATCCTGAGATTCCGTGACCATACCAGTAGTCGATACTGTGACAGCTGAAAGGGAAACAGTACAATTGAAGTTAGAAGGAATGCATCATTCAAGAAGGGAGGGGGGGGGTGAAGGATGGGTTTGATTATCAACAAACGATACAATTCAAACGGTGATGTTCCATTCAAAGGAGGGTGGGTAAGGGGGTTTGGAACATGACGTAATAATGATCAAGATAAACGGTGATGGTCAGTTCAAGGTGGGGCTGAGGAGGGAATTGGACGTTAACCTTGTAAAAAGTGATGCTTCATTCAGGGATTGGGGGAAGGAAGCTTAGAAAATCAATGAATAGTCAAGAGATATCAATATACCTGTAAGATTGTCAAAGTATACGCAACAAGGTGGGGGGGTGAGGGGCATTGGACGTTAACCTTGCAAACAGTGATGCTTCATTCAGGGGGAAGGAGGCTTAGAACATCAATGAATAATCAAGAGTATATACCTGTAAGATTGTCAAGTATAGGCAACAATACCGAAACGTAGTCTACGGAATCGACATTCAAACTGAAAAGATTCCTTTTAGCCGCGTGCCTCGTCTGTGAAGTTAAGACCTTAGACCTTCGTTCATGGCTTATTATGTCATTCACCATTTTCCAATTGCCCACAATACAATTACGCCCCCACACCCACCCCTTCGCGCGCCTCCCTATGAGAATGAATAAAATAATCACCAAAGAGAAAATGCTTCGATGGTTTATCAAATTCTCTCAGCCAAATTTTTAAGGAAATGTATGGAGATCAGTTCGGAGAATTTGTATGTGTATATTGGGATTTAAAGGGTTGACTCACCTGCTGAAGTCTTGGATCCTGCGCTTATGGTGGCCACGGAAGACAGAGAAGGAGAACTGGGCGCTACGCTGGACGGAACGGTCACACTAACCTAAAAAGTACAAACAAGTAAAAATATTATCATGAAAAATGCCTCTATAAGAAGTTTGTTTATGATAGGCTGTTAATCGTTTGCCTTACGATAATCACTTTGATATTGACGGCGACGTTTTTACCACTATCTTATGGTATATATACAGGTAATAACCGTTTTGGGGTTTAATGAGTAGTCCCCTTTTAGCAAGGGTTCTAAGCCGTGTATTCTAAGTTGATTACTGGTTTTACTTTGGAACGGAATCAAACACCGCTATAAACACCTTACACGCCGTATCGGTGGAAAAACGCGCGGGGATTTCACCATCGAGTATAGTCTTTCCGCCACAGCTTTGCCATGAGTAAAACGTCCAAGCTTATCTGCTAAAACAACGATTAAGCAAAACAGCGCTACGGATAGTTCCGAGCAGCTAGACGACACCATCGTGAAGACTAGGGGTAAGTCGTCGAAACGTCGCGATCAAAACCAACTGAAACAAAGTGAGTATAGTGAGACAAACGATAAATGAGCCCTTGCATACAGACTCAAATAATTTACATATTCCATTATAGAAATCGTTCGACTCACGCCAAACATTTCTTCATGCAGTGCCGCCATTCCGCAAAAAATTACAAATCCTCTCAAAGCAGCATTTTATAGTACAATACAGTAGTTTATTGTGTAATTTCCCGTTTCCTTTCTATAAATAGTAAAATGACGTAGAGGTGGAATAATAGAAATACATAATAGTAGTACAACCACAGATTAATAACGTAAGGTCGAGATCAGTTCAGTTCGTATACCATATCTCATGTAAGCAAGGTGTACTATCAAAACAAAGCCCACGTGTCCCCGAGGTTTTAAGATTTTTCAGTCAATCAGTAATGAAACATGGAGAGAAAACCAATTCGGACTAACTTATATTCCAGGAGCTGTACTGTACAAACTTATTAAACCGTTTGGCCGTTACTATCAACTATCACGCGCTTTAGACATGTTAAAAGTTGTCCCGACAGACGTTAGTTCGTCCCGTCTCCATTCCAGTTGGCCGCACTCGTGATACCAAATGAAGGTCTTCCGGTCAGCTGTTTCTCGCCTGAGATAACAGGCTCAAAGTTCTCACCAGATTGAAAACGAACCGACTCGAAACTTAAATTCTTGTCGAGTGACGTCGAGAGTCGAAGAGTACATTATTCGCCAAAAAGTTCTGAAGTTTAATTTCCCTACACTTTTTATCTCGTCTTTGGAGACTCTGCTGAAACATGTCTTAATTAAGTAAGTTAACGCCTGCAAAACATGAATTCGACTGAATCAAAATCTATCAAATAAAAAAAATTAGTTTGACTTCACCCCAAACATTTACAAATACATCAATGAGATAATAACACAAATTACATCACGATTATATCTCAAGAGTATCAACTAGTGTGCGTTTATAAAGCAGACCTGGATTGCAGAAATAACTACAACAAGATTAATAAGAATTACCAATGTTAAACAAATATTATCTAAGCAAAGCCTAATCCGAAGTCTAGCCATATCATGAATACTTGCCGCGAATTGTGATGGCGCTGTGTTGCCCATGTACTGTGATATAAAAATTTCAGACCTTTACAAGGCTTTAACATTAGTCTAGCGCTATAGTGAGCTGTTTGATCGCAAGCCACAACAGTAAATGGTCGTTACTAGAAGTGCAGGGCTTCTGCTGTTCATTACTAACAGACTTGTGAACCATAGGGGATGCTAATGAGATCATTATACGTTGCTGGCAAACTGCCCACCTACCCCTCCCCTAAGCCAACATTATCACTTACTTCTCAGTTAGGGCAAAATGTTGGCTTAGGGGAGGGGTAGAAACGTATAAAGATCCCCAATGTTATTAAAGGGCCTATGTCATGCTATTTGCTATCTTTTAGAAAGCTAAAACGTGTCTTCGCATCAATTAAATTCCAAAAATAATGATCAGAGTTGTTATTTAACTTTTAGCTGCGTGCAAACGGACGCAACAACTCCCAACCTTGGGGAACAATGTTGCGTCCGTTTGAACGATACTTAAGTAATACTAGTATCCCACCGATTTTTGTACATCCCACAAGCTCAGGTTTCATTTGTCAAAAGTAACAAATTTCGTCCTATCTGACACTTTACAACTTTTAACAATAAGGCTTTTTGCACCTGAAGAAAAAGCTGGCGTAGTCAACGCGTAGGTCGCAAGGAGACGCGCAAACAACATAGTTAAATCCAGTAGGAGGGCCGGACGATCAAGAAGGTCCTCGATACGATTACTAAACCCCTTCATCCCGACCCTAATTTTCGTGCAATCCCGTAATCCCGATGTCCTGTATCCCGGGCATTCATTTAATCCCAATTCCCGCCCCCATTATGCTTTAAAAGTCAGAATCCCGGCTCTCAAATGAGAGAAATCCCGCATCCCGAAAAAACCTATTGGGGACCCTCGATTAAGGGATTTCAAAACCGACACCAAAATACAGTAACCCGTGAGGTGATGAGACAACGTAGTGACAAGCATGTGACAACCCACTGGTTTGTTGATTTTACTTGATTATAACTTTCGAGTCTGTGAATCAAATCCTATGGAGTTACCATTCAAATGAAACCTCTTCAGCAGTTCTTTCACATGATACTATTTATTTAGTTTGCAGTTCTAACTTTTGAGTTTGTGGATATATTTTCACATAATGCTATTCGTTTAGCAGTATTTTTCAACTAGGATTTCGCAAATTTTGTCGAGTTCCGTCTTTGGCCACTTCTGGGAATGAAAGGGTTAACTCAGTATCGTATATGTGTACACTATGGTGTATGTTAAACTCACCGTTTGGAGATTCCCCGATGACAGGCCAAGTTGCGCCAGAGACAGCGTGCTAAGGTTCACATTTGCTGGTAGAATAATCCGCTGACCTTGAACAGCCGCAGGAGCAATGTTCACTACCTGTTGCACGGGAGGGGTGGGTGCAGGATCAAACACGGTATTTGCTTGTTCTGCGCGTGTTTCCTGGGTAGGCTGAAAGGTACCCTGGGGAGAGAGTATCACAGTTGCTAAAGGTGATTTAACCTGAGGCTGGTGTTTGACAGTGACACTGGGGACTTGCATACTCGGTGACGTCACAGCCACTGGTACTTGATAGGCTGACTGAGCCGCAAAGCTGCTAACCTGGGGAGTTTGCTTAGGTTGGGTTGATTGCTGAAGAGCCACGTTGGGAGGTCCACACAGTAATGACTGAAGAGCTTGACTGATGGCGTTTTGATTTTGGGGCTTCATTTGAAGTGAAGGTTGCAAGGGTAAAGGTTTGGGCTGTGGGACTGTTTGCATGGGCTGTGCTTGCTCCTGCTTGTGCTGCGCAACTTGGGTTTGTCCTAAGCCAGTTAGCGAATTCAGTGTGTTAAGGAGTTCAGTTGGTATAGAGCTTGCTTGCTTGGATTGTAACACTTGTTTTAACTGGAGCATCAGCAAGGCAGGATCTTGAGTGCCACCCAAAGGGTTTGTATCTCTCGCCGGCATCTGCACAGCTGGCGTAGGCACGGATGACTGCTGAGTGAGAAGTTGTCCTAGAACAGAGCTACTTGCCGGCTGATACGACTCTGTGGACGTTGTAGTCACCACATTGCTTCCAGCAGGGCTCGATAGCAACTGTTCCAAGATGGAAGATTCTCCTGTCTGCATCCCGCTATTCGACGTGCTGAACTGCTGTGTTGCAGCGGTACTGGTGAATGTTGCAGAAGGCATTGTACCTCCTTGCAGACTCGCTGTTAATGAAGCGACACTCACGCCACGTGGATCAGACATCTTCCTTCTACGCTGCGATGGTACTGCTGGTGAAACTGGCTGAGGTTGCTGCCCTAAATTTAAGAGAGAAGAATCTGACATATTGCGTGGCAACCTCCCTTGCTTTCTCCCCCTCAGAGCAGACACCCTACTGGATTGCGGTGCAGCTGAAGCTTGCTGTGGATGCTGCTTAGTTGTTTCAGCAGACTGTATCGTTGGAAATGATGGAGGTGACGTGGGACTTCGAACCATGCTGCTTAGCCTTGAATCAGACATGTTCCTGGGCAGTCTAGCTCGCTTAGGTTGGCTGGCAGCCGGTGGAATTGACGTCAGCCTGGTACGCGGTGGTATGGATTGCAAATGCGCTGCAAGATTAGGAGCTTCAAGTTGAGGGGGTAGATTGTTCTCAATTGACGGAAACAGGTTTGATGGAAAAGATGTGGCAAGCTGCGACAGGTCCATTGTGTACAGCTGAGTATCTGACACGTTCCTAGGGAGTCGCCCTTTCCGTTGTTGACTTGATGTGTCGATCTGCTGCCTTGAATTGAATGGACTGGTATTACTTGCATACTGAGTGGGAGAGAGAACAGGTCCGCCATGAGATGCAAGCTGCTGGGCTTGAATCTCTTCAAGAGGGCTTGGTAGATGCTGTTGTTGCTGTTGCTGCTGCTGTTGTTGTTGTTGGGGATTTGCAAACGACACCATCTGGGGTTCGTCTACAGGCGATGCCAACACTGTACCTTGCACTGGAGAAGTTGGATGCTGCTGTGAGCTTGGTGAAATAAACCCTGACCCCTGAGATGGCATGCTCTGCTGTAACTGTGCAGTGAAGCTCTGACCATGCATGACGTTGCCATAGTCAAAGGAATACTCCCCACTGGGATTTCCACCAGAAATATCCATAAGGACGGGTCCTGATTGTGGCATTCCTTGCTGGGACAGTTGGGCATTGTCCACAGTAGACGCAGCAGCAGCTGGGTACTGTGATGTGGCATCATAAGCACCAGAGTGGTCCATGACTTCCTCGTGACCCTGAACAGCTGAATCAAATGGATTTGATTGGTTAACAAACACTGTCTGGCCTTCTGACCTGACGGCCTGGAAGTTGCCTGGTTGAACGAGGTTCTGTTGATTGCCAGCATTTTCTGCTTGCTTTACGAGCATACCTACAAACAAACAAAGAAACATTTTTATGGTCAAATCTCTATGTTTGACCATCTCTTGTCTGCGACCACCTTCCATAGGCAACCACCAATCCAAAACACCACAATGTACCCATGAAAGAGAGAAAAATTCCAAAACTCAAGGCAAAAACAAATTGAACAAATTGAACTTCATCACCGACGTAAAAATGAGATAACCACTTAGTTGTTACGTGGCCCCAAGAAGGGACTGTAAATGGCCAGGAGGTCCAGTCCCTTGTCTCTATTCAGGGAGGGTTTTTTTTACCGTATCTCATTCTTTATACATCGCTGATGACATTCGAGAGATTCGAACAGAATACTGGAATTGCTAAATTGTTTTTTTCCTCCGAGATATGGAATGTTTTGTTCCTTCACGTGTTCTCAAAGGTAAAAAACCCATTTTTTTCGGTAAAATGTTCCCAGTCAAAGCACTACAGTTACAGCCTCTTCTAAACGACCACCTCTTGTAAGAAACCGCGACCTTTTTTGAGGTGATGGTTATGTAACTTTTTACAAAATATTGGTAACCTCTTAAAAGTGGGCACTTGACTCAGAAAATTTGAAAAATTTGTTTCTAACATCCTTGTAGTTCCATTTGAAATAGGCCCTTTGCAGAACTTGGTCATGTGACCATTCTTAGGCAAAAATTATGGGATACAGCTCTAAAAATGCCTTAGATGGAAAGAGCACGAGAAAATTAGCTAGAAGGCCAATTTTGGGGAGACTGACATATAAGACTAAGATTTTATAGCTGCTTGAATTTCTGGAAAATTATAAGGATTTGTATGGAAAAAATCGCTGCACTGCACGCTATGCATCCCAGCAACTTTTTTCATACAAATCCTTATAATTTTTCAAACATTCCAGCAGCTATAAAATCTTAGTCTTGTGTCAGTCCCCTCAAAATTGGTCCTCTAGCTAATTTTCTCGTGCTTTTTCCATCTGTATCCCATAATTTTTGCTTAAGAATGGTCACCTGACCAGGTCCTGAAAAGGGCCTATTACTATGAAGTAGTTTGTCACAAGGGTTAAAGACCTTTCCATTATTTTGACTATTGGCATCTGCATTTACTTTTAAAGATCAGGAGCACTTGTTAGAATTTTCTTGCCTCTAAGCACTGACGCATATAACATACTGACCTAACACAATTTTACTTACTAAATAACTCAAAGTGTTCCATAAACTGATCTAAATTGGGCTGCAGACTGTCCAGAGTTGGAACTTGAAACACATCTGGAGTATCTGAAAAAGAATAGTGAGCTTAAAGTGATCTGATAAAGATCCCAAAGGAATCCTCACTTGTGCCTCAGAAACTTTTTTGGGAGCCCTTCAGGCTCCTAAAATAAAAAGTTAGGAGCCTGAGCCACATTTCTAAGAGCCCATTGATCAATTAACTCAAACAAGTAAGCAGATGCTCGAAGCTCGATTCACACGTCTCCAAACTCGATTCGTCCGAGTTTCGAATTTCCAGAAAAGTGCTCATTTGTTTACTTTTATCAGCAACATTTTTTACCTACGGTCGACGAACACACGTGTTACGTTTCGTTTCAAAAGCACAAAATGAGCAGGGAATTCTGTTGTTCCTTCATTGGTAGTAGGCATAGAGGCTATTGCCATAAGAAACACAAGTTTTAGGTGCCCGTGTGGGCTCCTTGTTTCAAATTTTAGTCGCCGGCGAGCAAATCATAAGAGCCTCGGGGGCCTGTTAGGCAGCAGCCTTGGCTAGAGGGACAAAACTTTCCATACTAGTCCAGCTGTTCCTAAAAAGCCATTTACTGATCACTATTATTATCATCATCATTATTATTTTGAAGATCACAATGTATCATTAGATTGTTGTTACACAGCTTTCTCATGTGCAGCCCCTCCTCTATGGAACATCAGAATGTCAGGTGCTGTAGCAGTCTTAATGAATTAAACATTTAGTTAAGACTTATCTTTTCAAGAAGGCTTTTAATTTATGATCATCCAAGTAACATATTTCCTACATTTTTATTTGATTTTATTTATCTATTTATTCTTCTTAACAACATTGTAAATTTTAATGCACAGCATAATTTTTTAATTTAAGAAGAGTGTATTTTTTTAGTGACTGCTGTTGTAAAGCGCCACTGGACAGCAACAGAAATGACACTACAGAAATAACTATTATTATTATTATTATTAATTAATATTATTTTTATCGTTATTCTCATAATCCAATTACCCGAATAAGCAGTGGCCCTTGATGCCAAACCCTGTTGTTGGCTCAGTTCTTCTGGAATGACAGTTCCTCCAAAATTAGCCGTGCGAGATGTGAACAGTGTATCAGGAAGGGAAGATAATGCCATGTCTAAAAAAAAATAGAAATTAAGAATCATTAAAACTCATGTACATCTATATAAACTGTAACTACATTCTTAAAGGCACATTGACTTTGATTTCAAGAAAGCAGGGAAGCTTGCTTTAAAACTCAAATACAAAAACTCCAGCTGTTTGGACACTTTTGAACCGTACAAAGTCCCATCATACAACTCGCCACTGGGAACAAAATGTCAGAATCTTTTCTTTGAACTTGACATTCAACAAGAAGCAATACACAAACTCTTGTTAGTCGAGCAAGAAACTGAATAAATTGAATGATTTTTCTCTTTTTTCGCTACTTTAAAGTATTTTGGAGCAATTGCCATATGAGGAATCTATCAGACAGTGGGTGTCTATTAGAGAAGGGGCATCTAATGCAAACTTAAAACTTTAAAGTGTAAGGAGCGTTTATTAGACAAGAGGCTTATATTTAATAGAGGCTGTCTATTAGATCATTTACAGTAAGCTCTATTTTGGACCACCTAATAGACACATGTTCTACTTGACAAATCAGAGAGGGTCAAAAAACAGTGAAACCCCCAATTGTCTGGGATTTTCCAGGCATAAAGACCGGGCTTTAAGGAACCACTACAATACCATGATTTATGGAGGTATCCATCATATTAAGCATCTGTTCAATTGGTGTGTCCCCAGACGACAAAGGCGGAGGACTTGTGGCTCCAGGACCATCACTGCCTGAACTTAGTGTCCTGTTATGGTAGCAAACATAAGTGATAGTTCAATATTATCCCTAGTCCAAAATTTTCTTTTCCTTTGTTAGGATTTCACAGTAACGATCTGTGTCATTACTGTGGTCTTAAAATAACAGAACAGAGAAATAGTTTCCAGGGACATATTTAGCCTTAGAGATCAATTTACAGGAATTCACTATTTTCCAATCTAGTAGAGCAATTCTTTGGTGATGAATTGACTCATTTGCAAAACTAAAATGTTGTTTAACATCTATCAGTTTTCTGTTGTCCACCATCTTAAATTGTTCACAAAGTGCATTGCAAGTTACTGCTTTATGGCATATCCCGGCCACAAAGATCTGCGAATAAAGTACAACCAAACAATTTTTGAGGCTGATTTAGTATTTAACGCATTACATAGCATCTGTTTCATAGAACTGGTTAATACACAATTAAACAATTTGGTATGGGATTTTTGGGGGGTGCATTTTTGATATATATAGATATATTTCTGTCATTAAAGACTACTTATTATAGTAATGCGCTTTTCATTATTTGTATAGAAAGGGCGCACCATAAATAATAAATGTTGTTGTTGTTGTTTTGGGTTTTGATTTTTGCCCCCGTCCAATCATCTTGGATAATTAATGCACACACCTTCTCCTTCTTTGACTTTCCTCAAGATCCCTTGAAATTTCTCGATCAAGCTGCTGAGCCTGCATGAGATTATAAGTATTATTAAGTGATCATGATTTAAATTCCCCTTAATTACAGTCAAACCAGGTCAAGCATTAGCCCAGAGAGTCCATCAATGAATTGATTACCTGAAAATTGAATCCGTTAGTCGTTGCATGCGTAATGAACAGTGAATTTCAGGCTACTACTTCCAGTATTTGGGCAGAATATTCACTGCTCATTATGCCACTGGTAGAAATACAGAGATGGATCTGAAATGTACGACTACAAACAGAGTCAACTTTCGAATAACAACCTTAAAATTTATTGGAATCTTTGGCATTTACCTGGCTTGACTGTAACTTCCATGTACAGTCAAGAAAACAAGTGAAGTCAACTCTCAATTCCCAGACATCTTGCTACTATGGACAACACCATAATAAAGGCAAACAACAGTGGTTAAACACTTGGTTAAACATCCAGACAATTCACTGAAAGGACTCTACACCACAATGGACTTAGAGAGACTTTTTCAGGTCCTCACAACACAATTTTATAACTATATCCCACATCAAGAAACACAATGGCTAGGAGACAAAGGAAACTGAGCACCGACCAAGGTTAAATCAAATTAACCTGGAATTACTTTTTACCTATAATATTTAACAATTATTCGCCGAAGGCGAAGTTAATATTGTTGAATAATCCCAGAGACGAAGTCGAGGGGATTATCAACAATATTAACTGAGATTGAGGTGAATAATTGTTTTAGTATATTCACATGAAGTGATCTCAACAGAATCAGAAAGGAAACCATTAAAAAACAATTAGTTTGATTGACAGGTGAATTCATGCATGAACACAAAGCCATAAACAGTGGATGGGCAAAAGTTAGATCTTTACAGTATCTTCAAACATGGCAAATGATAGTTTTAATCCTTTGTATCGAGTTTTGTAAGCTTTAGCATCAACGATTTAAAAGAAAACGCCGAAAATTTTAATTACTACCCAATTCTGCAGAAAAGTAGAGCTCTATTTGTTTCTGTCAACTCACCATGAATGAGAAAGTTTTCTTTGTCGCTTCTTGCAAATGCCGTCACTACGATCAAGGTGAGCGTACTTTATCTCCAATGTTCTTTGCCTTGTTAACTTGCTGGCACGTACAATTTTCGAAAATATTTGTTTGCCTTCCTCTTTTCTCTATAAATTAACTTCTATTTATAGGCAAAATTGGTCTTGCGAGAAAATCCCGAAATCACAAACCGACCTCGTTTTCCTCTGTAGTGGTAAACATAGCTTCAAGCTCACAAAAAGTCAGCTACAGTAAACCACTTCACAATACATCACGCTGTTTAAACACCATGAAGTCTTTTCTTGCCTTCAAAGTCATCAGCACTTGGATATTCGTGTAATTTCAAAAAAGCTTTGCTATGAAACTTTTGCAAAACACCCAGTTCATGACAGCGATTTTGTTCTGCTTTATATTCACTGCCTAGCATGGTGAATATAACTTCATAGTTCGAGACAGCTAACCAATCAGATTGCTTGAATTACAAAGGTCACTGAGTGTGTATATACTAAATATATATATATGAATCACATTATATATTTTGTCTTTGTGTCTGGATTTACAATTTTGTTGTGCATTGATCAGATTTCTCATAAATATGAAAACTTGTTACCCCTTTAATGCAATGTTTTCAGAAAAATTAATTCTATGTTTCTGGGAAACTGCCCACCTACCCCTCCCCTAAACCAACATTAACACTTAGTTCTTACCTAGGGCAAAACATTGGCTTAGGGGAGGGGTAGGTGGGCAGTTTCACAGAAACGTAAAATGATCCATGTTTTCTAGGACATTCTTCTTGCCCCAGCTGTAAGCCCCAGGATTCTCTGCCACAATGAGGGTTACGGTATTACAGTCCACTCTCTCTTAACGAACACCTCTATAAGACGGACACCTCTGTAAAACAGACACCTAGAGTTGGTCCCTGCCTTTCTTTACTCCCTTTATTTGACTCTTTATAAGACGGACATCTCTCTTAGACAGACACTTAGTGCCGGCCTCAGAGGTGTCCGACTTAGAAAGAGTTGACTGTAATAACAACATGTTATTAACCCTTAACATGTGCAGTGAAACCCTCTTAACACAGACACTGAGGGGGCCATAGAAAGCGTCCGTATTAACAAAGTGTCCGTATTACGCGGGTTGAATTTAGAGAAAAAATAAGGGCTTACTTTCCCCAGGGACAAAGCAAACTGTCCGTAATAATGAGGTGTCCAAATTAAGCAGGTGTCTGTAAAGCGGGATTTGACTGTATATATGTAAGTTTCAATAGTTACAAGAATGACTTTATTGTACCAGCATAAATCTTCTCCCAACAATAACCACACTGTGAAATTTCAAAAATAAGCTCCAGGGCTTACTTTTTTCAAAGACCCTTTTTGAGGGGCTTATTTTTGAAGGGGCTTATATTCGGAGGGGCTTATATAGAGATGGGAATTTACGTTTCAAAATTGCCTACGCTAAGACTGGGAGTGAAATATGCACCTAAAAATCCATTGGGCTAGCTTCCAGTTGGAAGGAAATTTAAATCAGTAATTTGAAGCAAGTTTTTAGTGAAACTCCAGGGTTGTCAAAAGTAGCCCACTACTAGCGAAAAATCACTGTCTACTTGGTTAGTATTGGCCGGCTACTCTGCTTGGTATTTTTAAAATAAAATATTCCTGGACTGGCCGCTTACTTTGACAACTCAGCCATCTACTTCAAAACTTTCAGACAACCCTGAATTCGCTTTGAGGACAGAGATCTTTCAACAACTCAGCCATGCAAGTACTTTGTCTACATGGACCGAGGAAATCCACGCCAAGACTGAAGAGTAAACTAGTAATGCAAACAGCAATATACTGTGACACTTTTTGACTGCAATCATTTGGAACATGTAATAGTTCTTTGGCAAGGACGATTTATCGGAGGGTTTTTTGTTTTACGAGTTTGAGGGGCTTATGCATGGAAGGGCTTATTTTAGGAATTTTACAGTACATTATCAAGAATCTGTCTTAGTAGAAGATAAAAAATAGAAGAAAAAAAGCTTTCATACCCGAGGGCTCAAATGGTGAAGTAGGCTGGCTCTTGGTGTTCCAGACCACTGGAACAGAAACAAATCAGATATAAATTTCACAGTACATGTAACACTATATTAATAGTGGCACTGAAAATTGGATGGGGTTTCATAATCAATTATCACAAAAGATCAGATTTACCAAACTGATCAATAATCATTATAATCAGAAAAAATTATGTATAACGATTATTCCATTTTCACCTGTGTTCAAGTCAAAGTAATATAAAATAAACTTTTGAGTTTTTCTGAATGTGCACCACTTTTGAGAAAGCATGGTGGTTGTGCTGTGTTACAGATCAAGGTGAAAACATAAAAAAAACTGAAAACTGTATCAGAAAAGGGTTACCCATGGACTATACGTGTAAAATGAGTCCATTACAAAGACAGAAAATGACTTTTTAATATCTGTATTTGTCAACAACAATTTTTCTTAGCTGTTTACGATAATCAATTGAACAATTTCAATCACTGATTTTATGATGCACTTAATGTCTTTGATTGATTAATAATATTATCATATTATTATTATTGTTATTATTATTATTATTATTATATCATTATTATTCGATGATCAGCACAGACGACACTTGAATGGAGAAAAACCATCTAGATCCTCAAAATGATTTCTGCATGTTCAAGAACAAACTTGGGACAATAACAAAGTTCATGTGAGCAGGCCCGAGGAATGCATAATTATTCAAGGTTCAACTGTCCCATGGAAAATAGACAGCAATTTAACAGATCAGCATATGGTCATGCACAAACCTTTTTGTAGTATATTCTGAGTTTTTTGTATTCCCTAGAGACAGCTTCTAACTTTCTGCGCCAATATTTGCCCTCCAGTATAACAGTCTATAGAACAAAATAATGACAAGGTCAGGAGACCGTTAAAAGGTTTTGTTATCAAATTAACGCAACATTATCTCTCTGCAGTCTGTATGCACTGTAGATTGCCTTGAACCAGAATCCAAACCAGTACTTAAGTTAAGTTGTATACTGGTCAGTTTGTATTATAACAATAACAACAAAAAAACTGAGTTTGCCTACTCAAAGCCAACATATTCACAGCTCATAGAGCCACTTCCTCTCAAATCTTAACTGCATCCTTCTCACCCCACAAGGCTGTGCTCTAAGGAATATTTCAGGGAGCCCTTCGGGCTCCCAAGCATTTTATTTAAGTCGCCCAGGCTTAAAAGTTGGTCGCCCGGCTAAAAATTTCGGGGAGCCCTTCGGGCTCCCAAGCTGGAGTACCCAGGCCTCTCAAGTTGGTCGCCCGAGTACATGTGATGAGGAAGTATTTTGTACGCACGTGAATCTTACTCGCCTGCTGATCACCAAACTCAGTAATTTTAGCTTTTGGGTTCGACCAAAACCCGCATGTTCTCTTATGAAACCCATCAAAGTTTTCGTGCCATTCAGATTTAAAACCAGAAACGAGCAATGCCGCCGAATTGTTCAGATTTTAAAGAGAGAAAAGTAAAAAATTTCAACAGGTTTACGTAAACTTCATTAAGATCTTTGGGTCAAACATAGGAAAACTGTGCTTTTTACCAGTAATACTTAACTTGAAAATAAATTTTCAAAAGGTAAATCAATGCGGCATGAAATATAATGTGACGGAGTTTTATACGCGGTTGATCGGACTCAAGTTCCCGTGAAAAATTCCGTGAAACAGTGAAACGGTACGGCCCCAAATCTATTGTTTTAATAAAAAATATGTATATTTAATTTTCTTTTGTGTATTATCACGGAATCTTTTAGGATAATTGAGCTTTTCGTGGCTACGGTCGAAGCGTAAACCAGCTCTTCTTTCCATGTTTTTATTTTATTTTTTTTGGCCACTAAATTTAGCCTGCACGCGAACTTAGTTTTCGATACGTAAAATGCCAAGACAACGTGGAACTGCCTTGTTTCTAAAACAACAATAAAAACGATCAGAACAATCATATCTTTTCTTTTTATATTTCGCTATCTCATGTAAAGGGAAGAAAACAAACATAAGTTATGTTTTAGCCAAGCAGACACAGCAGCCAAAAACTGTAAAAACATTACATTTGCACACTGGTCAACACGGCAACTTCCGTTTTATACAAAGATAAATTACTCCGTGTCGCCAGCCGCGCTTTACGTCTGTCAGAAAAGTATTGACAGTTTCTCCTAAAAAATGGTACCTAATGAACCATTCTATCTGAAAGAAAAAAGTTTAAAACTATTTTAAGAAGCGGTACAAATCGAAATCCGTGCCGCTTGTCACGTTCAAAGTGATGGATTATGTTACATGTGAAATCATGCAGAACGACCTTTGAACATCGACGCGCGCCTGTTTCTTTCGTACAACATTTGTAAAAACATTTTCTGTAGGTTTTAGCTAAACTCTGACTCAACAAGCCAACACTAGTATGTTAAATTTTTCTTCCCCCTTAACTGAACACTTCACCAGAAGCAAGAGTGCCCGGCCGGGCGACCGGGAACTTTTTTTCAGTCGCCCGAAGCTAAATGTTAGTCGCCTCAGGCGACCGGGCGCCGTTAGAGCACAGCCTTGCCCCATATCAAAAAGCACAACAATTCCTTCCTATTTGAATTATACTGGGAATGACTAAATGTTCTTCAATATATGTAATTCAATTTTCAAACAAAAACGAGCTGTACATTGTGTACTTATTATTTTCATGAAAATGATAAGTTTTTGTCACTTTCATTCCCACAGTGCACCAAATCATGTCCCCCACACTCCTGCATGCTAGGCCTACTCCCACCCCACCCCCGCTAGGTACTCCTAGCCCAAGGATGTTGGTCAGTTGCCAACTTAGTCCTTTGAAACTTCTCTTTGAACACATTTTGGGGAAGCTGGCTTACATTGCCTCTTACAGGTAACATTTAAAATCACAGAAACACTTTCACAATGTTGAAGACATGTAGTGGTCATGTAAGTCTACACATGTTGTATTCTAACAATTGAGTTTTCACATCAAAGGTGGCCTGAGGAAAAGGAGTCTGTATAATACATGTAGAAACTCAGGGTAACTGTCAGGCATTGGAGATCAGAGAATTCTCTATTTTCTACACAGAATTCCCTTTGGTAGCCTATGACAATTTTTTAATCAGACATTGAGTCTCTTTCAGAACATTCTCCTGCATTGTTAAACCTTTCTTCCACTACTACAAGAGGCCATTTTACAGTTATGGATGGAAGTGATGCTGACGGTGACCTTGTTTTGATACAAACCTTCCTGCTTTATTATGTAAATCAAGTTATTCTTTTCAGCGGGCAAAGAGAGTCATGTCTGATAGCCCGGCTCTAGTAGATTTTGCTATCGGTCACGTGAATTTTGTTCTTAACTTGCCCTACTGGCAAGCATTGTTTTTTGGGAAAATTCAAGCTACAGAAGGATTGTAATCAATCCTGCTAATCAAAAAGGGTTTTGGAACTAGCTGAAATGACTTGTGGGCTAGTACATGCTAGCTACAGCTTGCCTGAATGGCAGGCTGTAAAACTGACTTTCTTTGCACCCTGCTTATCCTAGCTAGTATTTTTGAAGAACAATTTCCATAACAAAGCAAAAGGGTTTTGTATCAAAACAAGGTCACAATCAGCCCCACATTCACTCAAAGGCCAGGGTACTAAGTCCACAACTGTAAAATGGTCTATTCTTAATGAAATACCCTGGAGACTGCATTAATTTTGGTATCTTGAGACCTAATGAACTGTTCCTAACAGAGAGTTGCCTGTTGGTGTTATGGAGTAAGGTTTGAATTTGTGATTTTTTGATTTTCAATTTGAGCACTCCTACTGAAAGGATTAGTCACTCGGTCACTTGTCTTAACTGAAGGATACTCACAAAGGGCTTCTTCTTGATCTCTTTATCAGCAGAAAGAGGTGGGACAAACTGGCAGAACAGTGGACATTTATTTTTGGAATCTGCATAAAATAACCACACATCTATTTAGTAACATTTAAATCAGTGTAACAATAAATAAATGAGTAACTATATCTTAAACATATTAATGTTAAGCTATTAAGCTGAAAATATAATGCACTATAGACACTTATCTGTTTGATCTAAAGTACCGGTAAGATTAACATTGTTAAAAATAAACTACGTCAAGTTATGCTAAAGGTTGACAGTGTCATCATTAACAACTTAACAACTCAGTGGGCGACCAGTTTGTCTTATGACTTAAGATGCTTGGTGTTTACATAAAATCAGGCAGCATCAAAGAATGTGAAACCAGTAAACAAAATGTTAAATTGTGGAAGGAATTATAACACTGGCTGCTGACAGAGGCTTGCTTTTCTTTTCATTAATGTAACCATTTTTTCTACATTGCATACAGGTTTTTACATGATTTTGAATTACTTTTATTCAAACAAATTACTTGTTATAAGAATTTTTGACAATCCTCAAATCTTTATCACTATGGTCACCAAAGTAATACCTTTGTGAAAGGTATTTCACAGAAAGTATTCTGAAATAACATGACGATATGTATTGTGGGTGACAACTTTATTTGTATTGTAAGCAGTGCTTGCAAGGGCACAACTTCACCTTAAGATTTACTATGAGACTCTTCAACTTCTTTTCAGAAGAATTTAGTAAATGGTACTTAAAGTGCATGTGTAGTACTTAGTCTTCTTGTAAACAGTCAAATGTCAAGCTTTGGTCCAAACTTATAATTCAACCTTATGTACGGGTAAAGAAATTAGTATAAACCATACTCACAGACACAAACACCCTATTTTACTATTTAATGCAATTATCCCTTGTAAACAAAACTGCACATGACTTACAGCTGTTGGTCTAAAGTCCATCAAATGAAATATTAACTCACAATAAATCTCTTAAATGAAGACTTTACTCTGTTTACAAGTGCTCCCATAAATACAAAGTCCAATCATCTACTCTTCCTATGAAGTTACTAGATGATCTTAATATTCTATAGTAGCTATTGTTATAGAGTTTGAAAACAATAGCTAAACTTGTAAATTACACTTGCATAAGTTTAATTGATTTGCACCCAGACCCAGACTGGAATTCAAGCATGACATTATTGTATTGAAAAACCACACAAAACATGATCAAAGGCAGTGGAGGAGAAGGGTTACTACATATTTATGTACTGTAACCTTAGCAACCTTTTTCCAATAACATCCCCTTTCTAATAACTTTAAGTGCTCATCAACAAGTAAGTTTTCGTAATACAGTGTAAGCAATCCTAAATAATTATTACAATAGTGTCTAACCAAATAACAGCCACCTTTTCAATAAACCGTCCTTGTACTGTTTGAATTGTAGGTTTACTAATAGTACTGTTATTCCACATCAGAGCACAGTTCCCTCCAATAATGATTTCTTCCTATCTTGAATTTCTTTTTTGTTATACCTTAGCTCAAATGGGCATGATATTAAAGCCATTGTCATTAAAAAAAATATGGAATAGTGCCTTTGGCTACATGTTACCTGAACATTCATTTTCATTACAGTAAACACCTATGAATAAGAACCTAGGTTTTTGAAGTCTGACAAAGTAGGTTATTATATTTTGGGGTACTTATTGGCAATTTAGGCTAAGTAGGTTCTTAATTAGGATCTTAATTTTTATGAAGGAGATAATAGATTGTTGATGACCAGAAAAATAAATGAACTTGCGTTTGGTCCTTACATAATTTATTAAGCATAATATTTTCACAACTGTATTATTATTATTATCATTATCCTAACAAAACTGATTACAAAAGTTATAATTATGCAGTGTTATCTCTATAATAAGATATGTTTATTTAACAAATAAAATAAGTAAATAAAATGGAAACAAGAACAGAATGAGCAAAAGACCGTCTAAAAAGACTTCTTAGTGTTCAAAGGTTTACTTCCAACACTAGCAATAACAAAAGAGTTAAAATCTTAAATTCACACTCCTTGGTTAAATTCTTTATCATAATTTAACTTTTACCAGCAAAGATGTAAGTGCCCCATCCCAGGTACCAAAATTTATTATTACCCTTTGCCTATAATACATGTAACTGCCACCTCATGAGCCCTGTAAAAGAGGTACATCAGATAATATTCAGTGATTTTGACTCATCTTACTCACTGAATATCAATGGCATCATTTTTAGGTAAATGAGACACTCAAAAAAATAAACTGAAGTCATGTAAAACTTACACTGAATGTGCCAACTGCGCCAAATTGCATTGTTTAACCGTGTTTTCTCAGCAAAGTGTAGCTTCTGGCTGCGGAAATTCTTCCACTTTGGAGAAATCAGAAAGCCTCCCCTGCATGAAACAAATTCAACAAAATTGCTTATAACCAATGACTAACTAATTCATACATGTACAGTAGGGGATCTCATGAGCAGACACCCTCAGGCAAGAAAAAGGCATGCGTAACTCGAGCTGGCCACTTAGGGGAATGTGAGTTTGTATGGGAGTTGAGAAAAATGGGGTTTTGTTAAGGTGGCAGTAAGTGGAGCTGTCCACTTACGACAGTGTCCCATGTGATGGTTAGGAAAGCTTCCACTGTATAACCGCAGCAACAGTGGCACAGGAGCTCATACAGTAGGGGTGTAACGATTCATATCCCTTTCAATTCAATTTCAATTATTGCCTTTCAGTTTCGAATATTTCAATTCAATTATCCAAAATTAATGTTTCCTAATTCTTATAAATTATTATTCACGAGGAAGCCGTAATGTTTCCACACAAATGATCAACCTCATGGCTTTGTTCAGCCATGTTCGAGAATGTGAAAAGAAGCTTGTTGCATGCATGGTTTACCTCATTTGGAAACTCTCAAGGGGTGGTAGAAGGGCAAAATTTTAAGCACACCACACAAAATGGTACATGAACTACAAATTCCTTCACTCCTCAGTCAAATACACCAATTATGAAAGCATCTGAACTGTTATTTCATAAAGCAACAGCTCATTTGAGAAAAAAACTACTAGAAATTTTGACACTAAGGGTTTTAATAGTTGTGAGGGCACTCTTTTACCATAATTGAATAAAAATTGAAGTGCGAAAGCAAAGAACCATGAACTGAACTGAACGGTCATAATCGCGATTAACCGCTATTTTAATTAATCGTTACACCCCAATCATGCAGTTGTGAATGAAATCTTTTAAGCCCACAAGTATGTACCCAAAGTTCCAAAATATCAATTATGTCAAAGGAATAAAGCCAAAAAGCTTGCGAATTCAGTCATCTCTTCTTGCTCCTCGCTGCTAGGGACATTTCACAGGAAAAATGTTCTCAGTGACAGAAATTCCATATGATGACGAAAATCAACGTTTACATAATAATTACGTAAAACTAAAATTAATCCAGTAGTCGTGGGGTTTCAAAGGTAAATATATTTGATTTTAGGTTTCTCCTGATTGATTATGTTGAAGCTTTTGCGTTCTTCTACAAATGAGCTCCAGCAAAACTCAAATTCATCAAGTCTAAAAAAGAATAGATTCCACAAGTTTCATGTTGTAGTAGACTCATCAGGTTTACATAATTTTGAACTTTGAACCCTTTTATCTGTCACTTGTAAACAAGAGCTTAAACAATACAACTACTACATCGACCAATCAGAGCTCCTGAACAGATTCCAGACAAATTTTACATCATCAGTTTGGAATTTCTGTCACTGAGGAGCAGACGTCAATCCTATATTTTATCAAAGCAATGAAGGAAATGAATAGCTGCTAGAGTCACAGTGGATGCCAGACCTTATTGAAAGCGCAGACTAAGATCGCACTCCTTTTGCCCAGATAGCCCTCATATAACTGACTATATGAGGTAGCTGTCTCCCCTCTCCCTGTCCCTTTCACATGTACACACACACACACACACAAACCAGAATCGGGGTTCTCATTACGTTTTAAAGTAGACAGCTAGGGTATAAAAGTAGGTGGCTCGGTAACTGAGTGCTCTGGGCAATCACTCTCTCAATTTACCCTATTTCCCCCAAATGCAGAGGGGTCAAACCTCCAAGTAGCCGGTTTTTTAGCCTGCTGCTGGCACTTAATGAGAATCCTGCAGAATTATGCTAGAAAGTACCCACTTAAAAGTACACATATCAGGTGGGGCAAGTCAAAAAGAAAGTACACAAAGGGGAGATAACACTCTGAAGAGTGGAAATCAAATTCTCTCTCTCACACACACACACACAATCAAACCAGAATTATGCTTGAAAGTACCCACTTAAATGTAACACCTGTCTCAGGAGGGGTGAGACAAAAATTAATAACACAAAGTGGAGATAAGTGGAAACAGCTGAATAGCAAATGTTAAACTTATTCAGACTGAAATACCAGGACTTGCTAACTGCTATATTTCTGAGCAAATTCATAACTATTTACAATAAGCCAACACTTCTAAAATAGGTGCTGCAATATTGGTGTGGCATACAGCGACACCCTAAACTGAAATATCCAACAGTTTGAGGATATTTATATTTATTATTTTACAGATACTGTAGCACACGAAACCGTGATGACAAGATACATTTGAGTGCCTAAAACTAAAGATCATCTACCTATAGTAGGGTAGTATGTATAGACTATTACTCACTGTCTGATTGATTTTGCAGCAAAAAACTATATATAGTCTACATGTACTTAAGTTTAATCCCTGCAGTATAAAAATTCAGCCCCGCGTGATCATACTGGTAACAATACTTCACTCAAGCCTTTGTCGTCTTTTCTATTTCTTGATTAACCAATGAATATCTTTGGGTAAATGCTATATTATACTTTGTAATATACAATCATGATAAATGGGCAAGTAGATGAACAAGATTGAAGCTGAGGTTGACTGAAGTGAGCTGCACTGTTGTAGATGACATTCAGACATGCCTAAAATCATGCATTCAGTGCAGCGAACTAGTCACGAAATGAGGTTACCTCTGTACTTAAAAACAAAGTGGAAACTATTTTTAAAAACTTACGTTCCATATTCCAGTCGCATACATTCAAATAATCTGGACAAGTTCTCATCAAGGCCAACCGAAGCCGATGAAGAAGACTGTCCGCGCTTGTCGTGTCCATTTTGAACTTGGAAGTTCGGATATCGAGCTCTTATAGGGCGATTGATTTGACGAGTCTGAGTAGCAGAGAAAAATCTTGAATCCATATCTATGCAGCAGATACACTTCGTCGCATTTCAATGATTTCCTTCCTCCTAGATTGGTGGAGCAAAGCTACTTATACTGATCAAAATCGCATTCTAAACTGGCCACCATTGTGAACATAAGAGCCACGAAATGAGAGATGCTGGGAACTAGCGAGAAGACCACCAAATATGGAGTGACTAAAACCCAATCTTTTTCCTTGCTTCAACTGGTGGAAGTTGCAAACATTTATGTCGCAAAAGAATTTTCAAATGAAAACCGACAAGAATACTTTACTTAAACAGCTATGGCGTAGAACATTAGTTTGGGTCATTCATGTAATCACACGTGTTTAATCAACAAAGGGCTTGCCCCAGTTTTCTCAAATTGCCTTACTTGTGACTGTCACTGCTTGATTACGTAAGTGTAAACATATGTCATAGCTGAGCTGCCCCAAAAACACCGCGAAGAACCGAGGTCAGACAAGTTGTGAATGAAAAGGGCCGGAAAAGGGGTGTAGTCTTACCTTAATTGACTTTCTATTCTAACGGTAGATAGCAGCGGAGTTTTATCCCTGATTCTAAAAACCGACCTGTAATGCAAACAGCTCGAATACAGCTCAAGGACCCTCAAGATTATTTATAGCGGCTTGAGGTTTCACCTCGGGAGACCTCATTGTCGGAATGTCACGTCTTATAAGGGACGGACCATTAGAAAACTTTTGGGAGAGGGGGGAGGGGGCGAAGTACAAAAAAAATATTCGCGCAAGGGAAAATTAAATGAAAAAAAATTCATGCAAGCCAATTAATCCTAAAAAATATTCATGCTATGGCCTAAAAAAAAATTCATACGAGGAATTTGATATCAAAAAAAAAATCCTGCGGCTCGAACATTCCCCTTCCTCCTATAACTTTTCTAATGGTCCGTCCCTAATGCTCAGGGAATGGGATACCAAAAAACGGTTCTGTCTAGTACCTTCCTCAAAAGCTGTATAGGGGTTCACCAATCAAAGACTGACCTGCGACCAGGCGTTTTTCGGGAGAGCGTTGAGATCTCAAAGAAAAAAATAGGAACATTGATCACAGGATTTATACTTTGAGTTCCAAGATATAAATCCAACTTCAATTTTCTCCTAATGACATCAATAACATCAGAACATGATCAAGAGAAATTAAGGGGAAATGCTTTGATCCTTTTATCTCGTTTGGAGATCAGTCGACTGGGGTTTTAATAAATGTGGATGCGGCAAGAGAGACTAGATTTTAGTTGTCTGTAAACTTTGCAGTTTAAATGATCTTTTTCTAAAGTTTAAGGTTAATTTTTTTTACCTCAAAAATGGCAGGGGAAAGGGGGAGGGAGACAGAGAAAGTCCCCCTCCTTTTTCCCCTTCTGTCCCTTCCTCCTGTTCTTGCGTTAGGTGAGAAGTAGCCTCTGCCAATAACCCAGCCATTTTCTATCGAGATCACGAACGGCATGGCGGATCCAGGGGAGGGCCTGGGGGCCAGCCCCCCCTTATTTTTAGACCAAAATGAGACCCGAAGGGCCGAAAAAAATTTGTTTTGAGACCACCGGGCTCCCCTTATCTCAGAGTCTGGATAACCGCCGCCTACTCCCCCCCCCCTGCCTCCCACCACCCGCTTATCTGAAGTTCGATGCGATCTGCCACCCGCTGGGGTACTCAGTTATATAAGTTAGGCATGCGCCGCCCCATCGGGTCGGGTTTATGCGCCGGTTTGGTCTGAAAACGGGTATACACTTTGTCCATTTTGGTCTGGAATCGGTATGGTTTTTGAGGGAACTTCGGGAGTGTACGAACGTATTTATCGTTTCAATTCCAAATGAGTAAGAAAGAAAGAGAAATATGCAAATTCCAAATGGATTTGATGAATTCTTTTGTTTACGCTCTAATCTAAGTAATGATAACATAATTTCTGCCCAAAGGCCAGGTCTGAAAACGGGTGTGGAAGATAACATTTTTTGGTCTGAAATGGGGTGAGAACCGGACGGCACACCCCCACCAAGAGTTACCAGGAGTACACCCCGCCCGGGGGCCGTTTTCAATTCCTTCAGGTGTGAATTCCTGTGGATACAGATGGGGCTTTCAGAACTTCAAAACCTAGTTGTCCTGCAGTTTCGGGCTATGAGTAGTCACCGAGCGAAAAATGTAAGTCAGTACGCCTTCTGACAAAGCGCGAGAGACATACGACTTGAGACAGTCAAGCCGATACAATAGCCAAACGCGTCTAGAGCAAGTTAATTTGTCCACAGGTTGCTACTGAGCAGAGGTTACTTTCTCACGCCAGTACATTTCGCGAAAGGGTAAGCCTCTTCCAACAGGGTCAGACGCACCCCTCTAAAAAATGCCCTCCCCTGGTATCTGACCGGGGTATCCGACGATATAGCGTATTCCTGCCCATCCTGTGGTACAACCGGAACTGCCGTTTATCGAATTTATTTCCCGGCATGTCCATATCGTAAAGCACACATGCTTAGCCGGATTGTTCAAACCTGAGTTACGATTTAGGTTTCTGGGAAACTGCCCACCTACCGCTCCCTTAAGCCAACATTATTAACACTTAATTGTCACTTAGGGCAAAATGTTGACTTAGGGAAGGGATACATGGGGTAGGCGGGCAGTTTCCCAGAAACGTTTAATGATCCGAGAATAACCCAGGGTTAGTAAAAAATTTGAATTCATATATAGCTGGATGTGCGAAAGCTTAAAAAGCAAGTTCAGAAGCTTTCAGAGTTAATGTTTATGTCTACAATTTGATGACTGGATCAGGATACTCTAAAAAGAATAGGGAAAATTATCAGAAAAAGTGCTTTAGAACAAAAAAACTCTTTCCGGATTGAAATTTAACCCCGGGTTAACGCCAGCCGGCCGGCTTCGAACAACTGACTCCAGAAGTCTAGCCGGAGAGTTTTCAAACTTGAACCTATTCACTTAACCAGTGTGAGAAAAAATCTGGAAGCGATAGATAAGCATTGTATCAACATTGTTTGTAGTGAGTGGCCTCCTAAGTTTCTCGTTTTTTATGCTCAACAGTCTGTCTTGGTGGGATATTTTGACTATTTTAAGGCTCAATAAAATATAGATGGAGATTTTAATTAGAACAGGATTGTCGCCGGAAATCAACATTATTTAGTCCGAGGCCTAAAGTTTTTACAGCGCATGCTTTTACGCTTACTCCCGGCCTCGAAGTACCCTGGCTCCAGAGGTCCGTTCTCAAAATACCTAATAGGAAATAAACCGTGCTTACGATTTGATAAGGCTCTTTTTACATTTGTCAGCTACCTTTTTAACCTATATTTCCTGATTTGTATTAGTCATTCCAACCAAACTAAAGATTCCGTCATCAAGTAGAGTAATAAGCTACTGACTTTATGCAGGTCTCTTAATCACCTTTCCCGGTATCTTATAAAGATATTAAACAACAAAAACAACAAACCAGTGTAAATAGCCTCATCTGCCAGATCTGCGACAACAAACTGCATCATTCACCAGAAAAGAAGAGGAAACCTTGAACAAACGCAAACGACAAGAAAGAGGGTAGATTATATAATAGAATTGTTTTTTGTGTGTGTCTGCCTGATCAAAGGTCGATTTGAAACATAAACCAACCACGGGTACCAAGATGAAAAGGGATGCTCACGGCCATAAAGGCGTTTTTGTTTCCACAGGACACCCACCATCCTAAACTCACGTGAGCATTATATGAGTCACTTTCTATTGGGCTGCCTGTAGCATTAATAGCTTTGTATAAGTTACTCAAGTATTTCAAATCGTGTGGTTTCTCGCAATTAAATGTTTTACCGGACTAAGGTCTTCAAAAAGCAAAAAACATTGAATACAGTAGGGTCCATTCGAGTAAATAAAACTGAATGGTTTGTTCATATACGGAGCGACATCTTAATTAAAGTGTAGAAATCAGGAGCCAGACCTCGCTTGAGGTCAAGAGCTGGTTAGATAAGAGGCGGAAGGAGCGCCGGGGGGGGGTAGGGATTGGATTGTACCAATAAGAGACGCGAGTTTCATTCTCGCAATTTAAAAATATATTTAAAGTTTACAGATGAAAATGGAAAATAGATATTTGACGATTACACTTGTCCTAACAAACTCGGAAAGTTATGTATCTCCTTGGTACAAAAGATAGCTACAATTAATTTAAAAATAGGTATATTACACTATTCACATCATATACAAATAACTTAAAACTAATATTTCAACGTCATGATTCTTGAATGATGTGACAATGGGATAATAATATCATGAACAAACTTTAAAAATTTAGCCTCAGTACAGACACCCCCCTCCCCTCAGAAAAAAACGGGGAGATTTTTTTTGAGGGGAGGGGGACGTCGGTACAAATACTGAAAAGATTTTTTAATCGACTTGGGGTCGTCTCATTTCAGATTGGTCTTGTTCTTCTTTAGCTCGCTTGCGACTCGCGTGAGCCCGTGATGCCAATACGCTAACACTAGGCAATTCATTTGGTGCTTCATCATCGGTCAGTGGTAGCCCCTGGTAACGGCCACCATCTTCATCATCACTTCGGAAATCGAGCTGTCTGCGATGTTTCTTTCGGTGAGATCGACTGCTTGCCGATCTCTTGGATGGAGATCGTGTATCGCCAGAGATAACCTGCTGCGGTGACTGAGGCTGCAATGACCGCACAGAAGAGACGGCCGGAAGTGATGGAACAGGGCCGTATTGTAACGCACGAGTCAACAGCGCCTTCACTTCCGCTACTTCGCTCCTCATTTCTTTAACTGTCTGTTCATGGCGGGCGGAGACTTCTGCAAGGTCGCTCCTCAATCTGAAAAGTTATATGAAATAAATAAATCATTTATAATAAATAGCGTGTGTTTTCTGCAAGGAACTTCAGTATGAGTCGAAAGACCTTCTAACTTTACATGTACATCACGGTGTTAAAAGTGTTTTGATTTTACCACATGGTATAGCGTGCGCGGCAGTCGCGCGCCCCTCGCGTTTCTCTCGCCAGAAACTCCGCCTGCAACTCAGGCTACACACGGTATCACGTCCCAGGTAGACTCTATAGGAATTGGTCTGAGAGCCCACCTCCCTCTTTTTCCCGGGTCCCCTTTCTGGACAATTCTGCCAAAATACTCACAGATCAGTGGAATACTCTGTCACGCGATCGACTTATAACGAAATGCATTTTCCGTGGATGGCTACAAGCGATCTGTAAAGCCCCCGAAATGATCCCGACCCCGAAATGATTCCCAACCCTGAAATGATCCGCAATTCGACCCCGAAATGATACCGACCCTGAAATGATCCCCGTCTCTCTTCACGCCGACCCCCAAATGATCCCCAATTAATTTGTACGGATCAAGCAACGAGAGGGCACTCTTTTAACGGTTCTCGGTTACACTTGTTTTAGGTGTGTCTCGTGCAACTAGTTTTTTTTCCATCGCTTGAAATTTTTAATCCTTCTTTCATCATTAACTACCAATACATAATGTAGTTCGGAGGTGGTGTTTTATTTGCAAACTATTATTGTCCCCCTAGAATAGCGTTTTTGCTAATCGTGTGGACAAGACAACTGTAACTTGTTGCATGAAATTTATTAAGGATTGTTGTTGTTGTTGTTGTTTAACCCGTTACTGACACCTGTTGCTTGTTTGCGGCAAACCTCAATTGCACTTAGTTCAAGACAACACTTACTGTTCAATCTCTTTTGCTACATTCTTGTCCATCTTAACTGTAGAACCTTTTTTCCCCTCCAGTATTTCGTACACCTCATCGACAACTTCCTTGATCTGGTGTGTCATGCGCTCTAGAGTTCCGCTGCCAGGTTGAGTAGAGTCGTCATCGTAGTACATTTCCTGTCAGTCAAATAAAATACGTTCATAAGCATGTAAAATCAAACATAATTGTACATTTAAAACAAACCACGCCTTAATCGAGTGTCACCGATAGGGTTCTTCAATCCCGTCATCCCGAGCCTAATTTTCGTGCAATCCCGCAATCCCGATGTTTGTTTTTGGCATTGACACAACAGAAAATACCATAACATAACATAATACTCTTTGTTGGTCACTCCAAAATTTGGCATAAGCATTGTTTTCAGTTTCTCTTGGGGCCATTTTAACTCCCAAGAGAAACTAAAGACAATGCTTACGCAAAATTTTGGAGTGACCAACAAAGAGTGTTATTGTATGTTGTGTTATTTTCTGTAGTGGTCAATTCCACCTCCCGCGCGTACCTTCGATCCCGAATCACAACCTCGCCCTCCCCCCACCCAATTTTGCTTTAAAATCCCGAATCCCGAATCCCGAAAAACCTATTGGGACCCTCTTAGTCGTGGCGGTGGCGGATCCAGAGGGGTGGGGCCTTATTTTTAGAGCAAAATGAGGCCTGAAGGGCCGAAAAAAAAGTTTTTTTTGAGACCGGGCCCCACTTATCTCCGAGTCTGGATGACTGAAAACGGGTAATCTTTACGAATTGAATCGACTGACTCCGACTCCGATTGCAAATCGAGTAGATGAATCAACTGTTTTATATAATGATTGTCATAGTGCACGAAAGGATTTTAAGACGTAGGCGAATCGACTCTAGACGTGAGCGAACAGACCGTAGGCGAAACGACCGCAATTCAAAATGGGTATTGATGGTGTATTGAGTGCTCAAGGAAATTCCCGACTCCAGAAACTCTAAGGAGAACCGGTACAAGCTTTCGGAGCAAAGATTTCTGGGGACAAGCATTACTTATGATTGGTTAGTGGATGCCTTGAAGGCCGAATATCATCGACCAATCAAATTACCGCTTGTCCACCCGAACTATCCCAGAAATCACTGCACCCAAAAACTTGTACCACTTCTCCCTAAAGTTTCTGAAGTTGGAAATCAAAGGATTTATAGACTATGTGAGGATCTTCATAGCACTTTACCTCCGGGGCGAATCGTTGATGAATACGTCTCCGGTATTTCTCCCGCTCCTTCTCTCCCATGTTCTCCTCCATGGCTAAAATCGTACTTGCGCGTTGCATGGCCGCGTTGGCCTTGGCGTTATCATAAACACGCTGAAACGTGTCCGACATCAGAGCAATGAACAGGTTTAACATCACAATAGCGGACACCGCGAGGTAAGTCCCGCATAGAATCTGCGCCATGAGTCGATCAACTACGAGAAGAGAATCCCAGGGGTAATTCCCTACGACCGTTAACTGCCACACGGAATACATCAGGTCGTTAAAATCCTTCCAGCCTTTGCTGTCCTGTCCGTTTTGTTCCATGATCGCCGCGTTCTTACTTCCGCCAAATACGATCCAGAACGCGCAAACGTATGGCACGTAGATTTCGAAGTAGAGAAAGCCGAACTTCAGCGTGTCATCTATGATGTGACCGATCATAACGATGAAAGGTCCTAGAGTGACAAACCCGCGAAACACTTTCATGAGTCGCAGCCAGATAAAAATCAACGCGATCGCGAACACTTTAGGATGCAGCGAATGCGCCATCTCGTTTTTCAGCGCAACAGCAAAAATTCTAGTAACTATGATACCTAGAATCCAAGCGTACGTCACCCAATCGAAATAGTTCCACGCGTCATTGAAATAGGAAATGCCAGACTCGGCGATATCAATTCGTTCCATGTCAAGATACTTTCTCTCCTCAGGCCAGCGCGGATGACAGTACTGTGTGTCTTTATCCAGCTCCCCAATCCGCCACGTCTGCCATCTTTTATGAGCCTTCTTCGAGGCAGTGATCTCCAGAAACTCAACGCAGATAAAATACAAAGTCATGCAGCAGGCTAACGTTTCGAGGACGACGCGCCACCAGTACTTAGTGATAGGATAGTAATAATCCGCGCCAGGTTCCTCACCCATGTGAAGAGTAACACCCAGCGCTGTCCACAAAACCACAAAGAACGCGTGTATGAAGATATTCTTCATCGTTCCGCGCCGACCAAACTGGTCCCATTTTACCTCGATCAGCCGTTTGAAAACAGGATGCATAATCAGTTCCATTTGTTTAAAGTGCACGACAGCGTGTAGAGGTGAGCGTGCGCAAGAGATGTATTGGCCTTCGTCGTTCTTGAGGTAAGGCTCCAAGTGATTAAGGTAGAAATACTGTTGTCTGTTGCCTCGGTTTGTTGTGTGGAACTGATCCAACGCTTCTTTAGCTACAGGCGGCATTTTGGAAATCATGAAGGTCATCACTGAACTGCCCGCATTATCTTGGACACCTGCGAGAGCTCCTTGGTCTATTAAATATTTGGCCGTCTCTGAACGATCTAGAGGTGGAGAGAGGCAAATTCGTAAGAAATTTGCAAGGGCAATTGAGCGGCATTAGTTATCCTATACTTTTCTCAGAGATAGTAGAGGCAGCAACACACACGCGAGCACGCTGAACAGCGCTTCCCGCAGGAGATGCTACTTAGAGAATCCTGTGCACTGCCATATATTGCAAACTCTACTGTTTCTGAGAGAATAGAAGCCAAACGGGCTGATGGGGGGTTGGGGTGGGGAGAAAAGACTTAGGTATCACATTGTTGAGGTTGATACCTCAATGGGGTGTTACTCAAGAAGAAAATATCTCCCCGAACCTAAGAACCCCAACTCACTGAAACCCCTTTCACCACTAGCATCTGCTGTTTGTAGAGAACCCAAGACACTTAGAGAAGAAAAGCTGTCACTTCTATTACTAGGAAGAAAAGCCAAAAGATCAACCCTTAATAAGCTCTAGCAATTTCGCTTTAGCAATGTGTGAGCAAACTTGGGCTGATGTACCAGTATTTTGTTGGTCTATTGGCTATAACCACATAAACGTGACCAAGCTTATGAGCATTGACAAAGAGCCGTTGCTCCCCTACCCTTGCTCCTTCTGTGAGTGGAGTTCCATGTGGTGTTTCTTGACTATGTTTATGGGAAACTGATAAAGTTTGGGAAAGACAAAATTTGACAGGACATACCAAGTTCAGCAGCAACTTGCAAGGGCGTGCGCTGTTTGAAATCCCTGTCTTCCATTCCACCACCGAGCTTAAGAAGAACCTTGAGGGATTTAGCTGCATCATTCTTGGCAGCATAGTGAGTGGGTGTCTGTTCCTCCCCGTATGTGCAGGCATGAAGATCAGCTGTAAGAAAATATCACATTATTATGCACACCAAGGAATGACAATGAAGTTGCCTACACTGGCTTTCCCTCCCCAACGTCAACAATGGAAGGGTTGAATGGAAGGGAGAGGTGTATTTTACCCAGCATCACAGAGGGGTGCAATTTAATACTGATATCATAATTTTGTGCCCGGAGGGAGGGGGTTCCTTATAAGAGGCTAATGAGGATGTGCCGCTGGATGGGGTTGCATTTTCACAACTGGATTGACTATAATGGGGTTGCATTTTCAATAGAGTAACTAGAATGGGGTCACACATTTTCGGATTTTTGGGGTAAGAAAGTTCTTCACATTTACAGTTAGCGAATGTACCAGAATGTTTGTACTGTAGGTGAAAAGTGAAGTCTTCTTCATTCAATATAAGGTAGATACATAGATAGAAAGTGAGGATCAATTTAAGTTTCTGGGAAACTGCCCACCTACCCCTCCCTAGCTTAAGCTAACATTAACACTTACTTTTTATCTAAGGCAAAATGTTACCTTGGGGCAGGGGTAGGTGGGCAGTTTCCCAGAAACCTAAATTGATCCAAAAGTGACTAAGTTGGGAACATCAAAATTACATTTGCCCAAAAGTGACTAAGATAGGGTCTATAATTGGACACAGAATAGACTATAATGGGGTAGGGGCTCTGAGAGGCCAGCCACAAATACCCAGAAAAAATTAACCCAAGTACCCCCCTCCCCCAGATTTAAGATAATTCGGATTTTTGAAACCTCTCTCACATTCATTGATTGGCTCTGTACACAAAAGATAATAGAAGGGCATTAAGTGATTCCAATGACATGTGAAAATAAAGAAACAATCACAATGATATAGTTCTCATTCTATGCTTAATATAAATAAGAAACTACATGGGTAGGGTACAACACTAGAGCATATTATAGAGGCAGGCATTGTACATCCTTCGGTATCCTGCCAAGAGAGTTTTATATCTCTAACAGTGGGGTGACTGTATTATGTAGATGTCTGTACTGATGAGAAATATATCTCCAAGGCATAACGTGTTTTACGTGTGTTTTGTCAAGGGGGTACATGTATTTTTATCTCAATTGCAAACACTACGTTTTGTTTAACAAAACAAATAAAAATTGCTGCACTACTGTTTAGCAGGTGAATATTTTACAGGACATATGAGGCTATCTAACCTTTACTGTTGAGAAGAAATTCCACCATTTCTGGATAATCAACTGCTGCAGCCACGTGCAGGGGAGACCTTCCATAATCATCTGTCTTGTTCACATCTCCGCCGTTTTCTATAATAAACTTAGCCACATCTACATGCCAAATTCGAGCTACTTCGTGTAGAACTGTCTGTCCATGGCGATCAGTAAAGTTCACATCGGCCCCCTCTCCCAGAAGACCTTGAATAAACTCGAAGTCTAGTTCCTGTTCATGTTCTATGCTTGCACGCGCTAGCTTTGCAAAGTATATTATCAAGGCTCGGCTGGCTGCTATCGCTGGATTGACGGGTTCTCCTTTGTTTACTGTAGGCATAGGCTTCATGTATACATTTGTGTCATACATTGCCAATCGATCGTGCCCTAAATCCTCCACATCGCTGTCCAAGACACAAGATTGTTCCGTTAGCGATTGGATCCGTCTGTAGATCCCTTGATATTCTTTCTTCGGACTTTCCCTCATTGAACGCGTATAACCTTTCCATCGTGAAACCGCAGAAACCTTTCTCGAAACAAACTTCCAGTTTCCTTGTGAATCTTTCCTCCTGGAGCTTTCGACGTGATTTATGTGGTTCATCTCTAAATCACGACCACGATCGAAGTCCCCTTTGCCGACCGCGATCGGATGAACTTTTCCGTTCCTTGCCATCATGAATTCACCTGGACTGTAAAATTCGAGTAAAAATTTGCACCGATTAAAACGTTATTCCACATAAATGCCAGCTGTCTTTTGATCTGACTTGACTGATCTCCTTTTGGCGTGATTTTCAAGGTATATTCTAGTTGAATGTACGTGACGACACTATTTCGGGGCCGCCATATTTTGTTGTCATGACAAAGAGTTTGTTGTCTGACACGTGACTTCCGTGTTCATTTTCATGTAAATTTCATAACATTAATTTTACAAAAGATCCCATCACCCTCTCCCTGAAATCTGCTTCACAAACTTCAACAAGCAAAATCATTTTATAATCAATAATTCCATTGCAAAGAGGAGAAATATATTAAAAACGGTTAATGGGACAGGAAAATTTCTCTGTTTCCTCAGAAAGCTTGCCAAACTTTTTGCGGTGAATCATGGTTAAATTTAAAGGACCAAACGCACGCTCTAATTGTTATAAATTTTCCATATGGTAGGACTGAGCAACCATTGAATGACACTACTAATTTAAACACAAGCATACCTTAAATAAGATATTCCATTAGTCTGGAATTCTACTCCGGGGAAGACCATTTTTGTGACAGCGTTTTTAGTTTATCATGCACTTCTCTGGATCGCAAACTCGTCTTCGGAGAGGTTCAACTCAAAAATGAATGTTTTGTTCTACACCAGCTGGTTTTAAATTCCTTTAGTGTAATCGCTCAACTGACAGCAAACAATCCCGGGGTAACAAAACCAAAGAAAAACAAAAGAAAAAACAAAAGGCTTTATGTACACTTTCGCTGGTACAAGCGTGCCATTTTCAGCCGCAAGCGGTCACGTGCTCGGCAACGATGAGAAGCCTTTTATTACCCGCAGGAAGAGAAAACACTTCTTAATGACTTATGTTTGAGATGTAATTGCTCCACGTGGCTTAGATTTCGCTAAAGCTGGCCGAAAGTTGAGATAAAAACTCTGTAGCAGTTTTATTAAACAGTAAAGTTGAAACCGTGGGTTTGCGTTTTCCTCGATCGTGTCTATGGTCGGTATTATACGAGCAATATGGCATTACTTATGATTAAAAACTGAACTGCACGTTCATAAGAAACAGGTACCGCCTACTTAAATGCGACAAGTGTATACACCTATAGTGGCAGTCAATCCGCCCTCTGTCTCGAAAACAACTCCTTTGTGCATAAATGTTGTTGTTTCGCCTGGGAAATTATTTGCTCCCCTCGCAAATTCCATGTTTCCACCGAAACCAGGCTAGGGGTTTTCTTAATCGCTTTTAATGAATATATCAGATTTGATGAAATTGTCCCTTAGAGAATTCTCCAAAACAATAACTTTAATTCTAACTGAAGTGTGTAGGGAGGTGCATTGAGAGTTGGCTTTTGCCTGGGGGAACATGAGGTTATAAAGAGTCTGTAAAAGTATTAGCATATAATGCTGTGTTCGGATATACAAATTAAAGCAGAACAAACGAGAGTACGTTTTAATTGAAAGTGGTTTTTAATTTCCCCTGAAAAGCAGCTTTGATTGTCTATTTCAATCCGCCAAATCAACATTCCTGCAATCTCCGCTGCATTTGATTTACGACTCGAAACTCAGTTCAAACTAGGATCAAATTAAATTGTTTTAAGGAGTGCCTATGAATTAATTTTTTGTTACAAGTGCGGATCATCTCCTGTTGCCTCAAACAGTGACTCACACACTTGGTCGCCGTTGTAATACATTTGGTGTCGGTGGTATTTTCATGCACGCGTTAGTTTTTGACCAGATACACCTGTTCACACGTGCTTGGGGTAAATAGTGCCACAAGAACTGTTGACGTTGGCACGAGAAAACTGGCAAAAACTCCGAAGGTCAGATTAGAAACACACATGAGGTTTACTTGTACATCTCTTGTACTTGTAAGGAAACACGCTTTCTTTAATCTCCTGTAGTTAATCTGACCCGCAATGTAATGAGTACATGCATGTACCTTCAGAAGATTGATTTCGTGCTGCTTTCAACAAAGAGAATCCCTAATAGCGGAAGTTATAATTTCATTCCCAAATGACGAGCTCTCCTTGAGGAAGAAACGGGGCCATGAGCTTATTCATAATCTAGCCTGCGTAGCAGGCGCTTGGAAACTAGGGAGCTTTAGCAACGACGACGGGCGACGGCAACGAGGACGTCAAAAAAGCAATAGGTTCATTACGAAAAACAACAACTGTGCACGTGCATCACGCTTTTTTGTACATTTCTTTACCGTCCTTGCACGACTACGACGTGAAAATGCCGAATTGCAAGTTTTATTGAGGACGTAAACAAGCGACGACGAATCCCTTTTTCTCTCTCTAAACTTGAGTGTGGCCCTCAAGAAATCAACTCCAGGGAAATTCGCCTACACTTGCTATTTTCAGCAAATTGGAATAAACGCGACAAAGATTGAAAAAACGGGAATTCATTTTAAACCTGACGTTTTCGCTGCCGTTGCCGTCGTCGATGCTAAAGCTCCCTAGTAATGGGCGCGAGGGAGACACGCGAGGGGAGAAACAGCTCTCCCCTCGCGTGTCTCCCTCGCGCGCCTCGTTCTTTCTTGCGCCCATTACTTTGCAAGCAGGCTATTCAAACTCAAACAGTTTCTAACAACACTTTTTTGAAATCCTTCCTATAACGGACTCA